AATTCTTTGTGCGCTTGGACAATGCAATCTAAAGGCGTACATGAAATAACATTCAATCAGGACTCGAGTCAGATTAACATCTCTCTATTCAAATACCTGGTTTGTTAAATAATACAGGAGGATCATAGTCTTCCCTGTCATGTGAACACAATAAGCCAGTGATTTGCTCTGATGGGACCTTCATTATCTTACAGAAACAGGCAGTACGAGAATCTTCTGATTAGCATTGCAGAGTCAGACTGACATATGAGTGAGCTCAAAGTCATAGCCGTCCTGATCCCTCTCCCGCTGCCGCTGTGATCTCAGTGTCAATTGTTATGCAGGCCGCGAGCAGCTGTTCTCATTCTAATGATGCAGTTAATGCGTCCATGACAGGTCCAAGCGCTATAAACATTAGTAGCAACTGTGCCGTTCATTGGCCAGCATTTCAATCAGAGATCATCAAGAGTTGCCTAATCTCAACAATTTAAATGCCAGATGATTGGCATTCTGAGTTCATGTGTATCGCATTCTTTGAGGAATGTTGACATGCGCCAATGATTCGCAGTTCAAAATCATTTACTCATCGTTATGTCGTTTCACACCTGAGATTTTCTTTCTTCAATGAAATGGAAAAGGAGAGGTTTAGCATAATGTTCATGCTGCTTGTTTCCATACAATTAAGCTAATGATGATCAGGGATGGCCAAAACCACCATAAACCTTCTTAAAGGCAGAGTAAGCGATTTCTGGTAGCCAATGTTGATATTACATACCCTGCCTTTAAATCTTATTTTGTGGTTTATGTAAGAAAAAAAATAGATTTGGAATTATATGCGGCAATGAAATCAAACAATGTTTGAGTAAACCGTCCATTTCAATGATATCGCGTTTGGTCTCGTTCTGTATCGCGTATCTTGTCAGTGTCTGCGCTTGCTTGGCCATTTGTTGTGGAGAAAATAAGGAAAGTGTGTCCAGCTGAATTAATGTAGTATTTTGTTAGAAGGGTATAAAAAAAGCGTAGTTTACCGCGGCAGCCGTCGCGTGACGGCCTCCTCGTGTGAAGACCGAAGAGTGTAAAGACCATCGACTCTTATCGTGCGACTCCACCGGGCAGGGACAAGGATAAGTATCGCTTTTTATTTCTCCTCTTTCCTACTACTTGTTTCACTTCTGTTTCAGTTTTTATAACCATTTCTTACTATGTGTTAAATAAATAAAATAAATAAATTTCAAGGAATAGTTTACCCAAAACTGGAAATTTGCCAAAAGTGTGCTCACCTTCAGGTCATCCAAGAAGTAGATGAGTTTGTTTATTCATTGGAACAGATTTGAAGAAATTTAGCATTACACGACTCACTAATGGATCCTCTGTGGTGAATGGGTGCCATCAGAATGAGAGTCCAGTCAGCTGATGAAAAAAAAAAAAAATTGTCCATGCACTCCAGTCCATCAATTAATGTCTTGTGAAGTGAAAAGCTGTGTGCTTGTAAGAAAAAATTCATCATTAAGATATTTTTAACTTGCTTCAGTTGCTTCCATGGCTAAAATACTAGTCATCTAACCATAATATTTATTTCTCCAGTGAAAAGGTCTGAATCAGGAGATTAATATGCAGAGATCAAACACTGTTTACAAGTGAAAACGGTCCAAAACAGCTCTAAACAAATATGTTGTTTAATTTTGATGTGAGAGGACAACAGGGGATAGACTTTTTTTTTTTAACTAGAGGAAGCATTAGGTTTAAAGTTAAAAACGTCTTAATGATGGATTTGTTTCTTACAAACATGCAGCTTTTAACATCACAAGATGTTAACTGATGGACTGGAGAGGTGTGGTTACTTGTGGATTATTGTGATGTTTTTATCAGCTGTTTGGACTCTCATTCTGACGGCACCCATTCACTGCAGAGGATCCATTAGTGAGCAAGTGCTACTACATTTCTACAAATTTGTTTTGATGAGAAACAAACTCATCTACATCTTGGATGGCCTGAGGGTGAGTACATTTTCAGTTCAGTTTAATTTTTGGGTGAAATATTCTTTTAATCAAGATAAGACCATAAATTATTTGATATTTCAAATACAAATATGTTTCATCGTACCACTGTGTTATTTCTCCATGCTGGTTTTATGGCTGCTTTCATCAGGTGTTTTCAGGTAGCAAAGTAATGATGGGGCACTGTAAACCCACTAATCTGTTTCATTCTTTCTGCTTATCATGTTAGTAACCATATCATGCGCCTTCTGAAACCAACACATTGAAATCCACATAGTAATCAATAGTACCATGCAATATTCAGAACCATATGACTAAATAATACTCACCTTGAGAGAAAGTCACAGACAGGGCTTTAGGTTTATACAGACGATCAGTAAAATCTGCAGGAGCTCTCGACATCTGAGAACATTCTGCCCTCAGCCTAACATGAAATATAGTTATGGGCAAATTCCCAGTTGCGATGCTTAACAAACTCTAATGACAAGCTTTGATCAGTGTATATTTACAATAAATAAAACAGTACTTGCCAAAACCTTAAAAAAATGTATGATTGTTTTGGCACTATGTGAATATAATTACTATAGCCCTGGAGGAAAGAGATCCTTGTTTTGCAGCCTGCGCTCTTAAAACAAAGTCTGACCTACCCCATAACAACTCCCTATGCCATTTACTTCAGTTCATCTAAACATGAAAAGTCTGCCATTAACACACACATTTATCGTATCGCTTCAGAAGGCTTGAAGTGTGATGCATGACTTATATAGACCACATATATGGTGTTTTTGTCTTTTCAAAGCCTTTTTGATCACTATGAATCGTTGCAGTATGGAAAAGAGCTGCATAAGAGTTTACAGAAAAAAATCAGCAATATTGAAACATTGAAAGTGATTAATTAGAGAATTGTTATTTTGAATTAAAGGGGTGGTTCATCGCGATTTCACTTTTTTAACGTTAGTTAGTGTGTAATGTTGCTGTTTGAGCATAAACAATATCTGCAAAGTTACGAAGCTGAAAGTTCAATGCAAACGGAGATATCGTCTTTTAAAATTCTGGCAGTTTAATGCCTACAAAAACGGCTGGTAGGGACTACAACGAGTTACTTCCCGGGTTGAGCTTTGTAAAAATCGACGCGTTTCAGAAAGGTGGGGTATAGAGGAGAAACAATAATGTACAGTATGTGGAAAATGTGTTTTTTTAACCTTAAACCGCATAAACACATTTCATTACACCAAATACACAAAATAATGTTCTTTTTAGCTGCATCATATGACCCCTTTAAAAAATACTAAGCATTTTAAGAAAAATACTAAGAAAAAAAAAAAAAAACTGTAATACCTGCTGATTGTGACTGAACTGTCCAGAAATGAATACTGACCCACAGCTGAAGAGTCTCCTGACAAGCCTGACAGCCATGTGGTCAGTAAATGCAGGATACTGTTTACAGGGTGCAGACAGTTGTGAATTTCAGTCATTCATCTGCTCCTTTACTTTGACAGACAAACAACCAGGTCTGTCTGACAGCCAGTAAATATGAACAGTGGTTTATAGCACTTCCTCTCCACATTAGTCATGTAAGCTATTACTCAGTAGACTGCAAACATGAGTAGTTTATTTGTAGACATTTCCAACTTGAAAAAACTGTAGCCTACCTTCAGTTTTAAACTGTTGTATTGCCTGCTTCATTTATTAGAGCTATTTGTCATTGAGAGGAAAGTAATTATCAGTTGACAACATCTGATGAACCCTCATCACACAGACACTCGAGAGACAACAAATATTTAGGAAGTACATTAAAATGCTGTGAACAGTACTTGGTACATGAAAAGGAAAACAATTATGTAACTGATCATTTTGAGTACAGGGACAAACTCATGACATTACAAGCCAACTTGTTACTAAATGTAATGACACAACACAACAACTACAATGCAATTAAAACTGGAAAACGATCAAACACTGCAACCATATTAATTATTCATGCCCCAGTGGCTGCTGGGAAGAGTGCAGATGAGACTGATAAACAAAAATAAATTATTTTTAGGCCAGTTTGGGGCAGAAAAAGACTGTTGTGTTTGTGGATGTATCATAAAGATCAGTGTACTGTATATCGTAATGGAAAAGTTAAAGATGCTAACTTCAAAATTGTAAGTAAACAAAATACTCATACAAATATGTGTGTATGTCTGCAGTATTTATCTTTTTCAGTTTATTAAAAATAAGTGCTTCTTGTTAGAGTTTGTATTGTTGTTGTTGTTTGTGTTATGATTTACCTTTCTCAAAAGGTAATTTATAAAATAAAACATAAAATAAAAACATTTATTTAAAAAATTGATAGCTAGGTGGCTTGCTATTTTTAAATCATGTAGCTTTATATGTACATGAACAGTATTAATTGATATTGGACATCAAAATAATATTAATAAAAAATGTGTAAATGTAAAATTCAAACACAAACCAGTCCGTTCAGTTTAAATTATTTAAAAGTACGTTTAAACTATTTTTTTAAATTAATGTTAGTGCAAAATTCCATCCATCCATTCATATGTAGGTCATAGGATGCTACATGCACTTTTACAAGATGTTTGAACTGAAATGTGTGTTGGCAGTGTGTGTACACAACCACCCTATAATGATAAAAATCCACCCAGTGTTTTTTTTTAATCTGGTTAAATGTTTTCCCCTTTCTCAAATCGAGCAGATCTCAGATGCCTGTCTGTGTGACGTCACACAGACAGGCCCCTCCCACGATAGTTTGATTGACAGTAGCGTTTCAGCACAGACTGGACTGGCGTCTTACCTTAGCTCCGCCCTCAGTGAGCTGTCATCAGTCCGCCATTGTTTCACCGCCGGAGCAGATGTAGACAAGAATGACTCCTAAGCGATTGAGGTGTTCTGTTGTTGGATGTAATAATGAAAGGGAATGAGGTGTCTCAACAGCCTTGCAACTCTTTAGTCTCATGAACATGCTAAATTAGCTGGAACCGTCAACACTGGCTTTTCTGGCTTTTCTGACTAGTTTTAGTGTTCATTATGGATGAAAAGCGATTCGATTTATTTCCGCACTGGAATGCTGTCATACCAAAGGTGTGAGGACTTTGGGAAAAGTTTTACGCATAGCAGCAGTCGAGGACCTCAGGTGAGTTTCTGAGATGTCAGGCATGCGGTGTCAGTTTGCTGAACCTTCTGTTAGTGGATTTTAATCTACATCCAAAAGTGTGTTGGTGGTGCTTTGTGGGATTTTATAAATCTTATTATTTTGCTGTGGTAAGCATTTCTTTGGGCTGTCACAAGTGTTGCAATTGTGTGATCACACTGTATTTTAAGGTCCAATTCTCACTATTAACTATAACTTTTGCCTCAATAAACTCCTCTAATTTTCTGTTTATTAATAGTTAGTAAGGTAGTTCTTAAGTTTAGGATTAAGGTATCTAAAATATGGTCATGTAGAATAAGGCATTAATATGTGCTTTATAAGTACTAATAATCAGCCAATATGATAGTAATATGCATGAATTGGTCCTTAAAATAAAGTGTTTTTCATTTTCTAAGTACAGATAAAAGTATTTTAAATATTGGTGCTAACAAAACGGTGCTAGTAATTACTAATGAGAAGACTGTGCAAGTGCATTTCACAGGTCTGTGTGTTTATAAAAAATTAGTTATTAAAGCAAATACTAATATTCTTTTTATATTATTATTGTTAATTCAAATGTTCGACTTGTCATCTAAAACACAAACAGAAGCTCTCCTCTATTCTAACACATTTTGACTGGGGCCTAAGGTAATCTCGGTCAGTATGAAATGTTATTTCTTCCTAAATACACATAGCAATTTAACATCTCATCCATCAAGGCTTTTAACGTGGTGTGCTCATTAGCGATTATATATTGAACATTGAGTTGATTACATATTGAACATTTTGTGGTACAAGGGGGTTATAGATGAAGGTGGACACCTTGACGATAACAAGAAGGTGGCCATCTTAAATGTCCAGGTCCAAGTAAACTGGGTTTAAGCCATTTGTCTAAACTATCTATTCTCTGAAGCCCTCCTAGCAATTTAGATAATTGCCTCCCTGTGGCACTAGGTGTGGATGTGAGGAAATTTATGTGAGGTCCTCACGTAAGTATCCATCGACAGATGGGGAACCAGCTCACACACAAAAATGTTGTAAAGATTTTTGAGCAAGAATTTTTTTTTGAGAAAAGGATTTAAACTTTAATCTCCGATAGAATATGACAAAACAAAAAATGCATTCATTGCTTTGCTTTAAACAAAGATAACTGCATTTATCATAATCTAATTAGCAGGCAGTTCAAAAACGTTTTGGGAGGAAGTTCAATTCCACGTCATCCGTAATGCCTCAGCACCGCCGAACTAGCTGTTCTGTTAAAAATGACGCATCTGTGGGCATGTTGATGCTTGGCTCTGGCCACAACTTTTGCAAACAATAAACCAACAGCAAGAGCTAGTGTGATCCTATAGTAATCCATGCATCACAAAGCACTGATCGTGCAGGGAAAGTAATAAGAACTCCTGTAGAGTATGAAAAATTGCAGTACGTGCAATAGTTGAAGACTGCACTTTGTTGGCTTACTTGTGGTGCATGTTTTAAACACATGCTAAAGTTTGTTTTGATGTGACTTTCTTGAGTGTTATTAGTGCTTGCTGCATGTAAACTTTGATTTAGTACCATTACAAGACGTGCAAGCATGCTGAACTGTTCACAGTATCCTTAAATGTCATTAAATCGAACAAAACTGGCAAAGTGAGAACTGATAGTGAAACCTGATCCGAGTGTGTGCCGCCTGGGCTGTGAGAGTGTAGGCTGGAGAGCAGCACACTGCACATCCTACTGCTAACAGACTCACCCTGAGGGATTTCACAACTCTTACCTGTTGGATTTCAGGAGATTTCAAAAGAGTTAAGAAGCATTATTGCTGAAACCCACACAGAAATGCAGGTTTTATTTAAGTCTAACCAGTATGGGACAGATTAATTCTCTGTTACTACCTCTATCCCATTGATGCGTTCTGGGAAATATGGCTACATTTCCCCCACCCCCATCTAGAGAGATTTATGGCGGTTAGAACTGTTATCATACATCTACATATGTATACAGGCTGACAGAGAATACTAGTTTAAATAAGCGTAAATTAGTTCAGCTTGCTTTTAATTCTTTACAGTCTCCTTTTTTTTTTTTTGACCTAGTGTCACACAGTCTTTGTAGTTAAATCAGGGGCATAACAATCCGTTTTTGGGGGTTAATGCAATACAATATTTGGCACCTCACAAAATACACTTTCAGTCAGTGCGCTAACTTTTAAGTAAAAACATCTGAAATATCTTAATATTTGAAATTCAAGCTAATTTAACTGAAAAAAAAGAAAAAAGAAGTTAAACTAAAGACATGCATTTTCATGGCTCCAAAGCAAAAATATATGGTCACACTTTATTTTAAGGTCCAATTCTCGCCATTAACAAACCATTAAATATGACTTTTGCCTCAAACTCCTAATTTGCTGCCTATTAATAGTTAGTAAGGTAGTTGTTAAGTTTAGGTATTGGGTAGGATTAGGGATGTAGAATATGTTCATGTAAAATATGTGAGTTATAAGTACTAATAAACAGCCAATATGTTAATAATAGCTAATAAGCAACTTGATAATAGTGACAATTGGTCCCTATACTAAAGAGTTACCATATTTGTTTTAGTGTTTAATAAAGAATAAATTGTAAGTTTATTTGAAACTGGGTGGGATATGAAACATTGGGCTAAATCTTGCCGCTAAAAATTGCTGTCGAACAAGAGGGTGAGGAAGGGAAGCTCAATGTCAGGCGCCCCCAAAATAAATAATTTTGGTACCCGATTTGAATAGCAACCCAATGTAGTTTAGTTTATAAGTTACAAAACCAATTTTCATATGCTAATTGTAGTTGACTTGTAGTTAAAGAAACCTGGCTCAACTATGTGAAAATGTATCACCTGGTTTAAAGAGTTCTGGCGCTCTTCTCACGGTTAAACAATGTAATGTAGCTTGTCAAGGCATGTCAAAACGGGACAAAAAGTACCCGACTATGGTCTTTCACTAGGTGAAACAGACAATGAGATGAATATGCGTGTGTGTTTTGTGCTTTTTAGTTTCGGTATGTGGTTAGATAATGGTCATTGTAATATTACTTTGGCATATCAGCTCATGGTAAAACCATGTTGTGGTCTACTTGCCAGAAAAAAATTTGTTAAAATTTTTTTTTTCCCTTCTCTTCAGGTCTGCGGGTCCAGGTTGAGACAGTGAGAATGGCTTTCACAGACACAGCCATAATTCTCATTGTCATAGCAGTCCTAGGAACGCTAACCAGATGTCAGGGGAGCCTGGTTAAAGACAACTCTCTGCTGAGGTTCACCCATCATTTGTATAATGCCAGCATTTATGAGAACTCTGCCCCCCGGACCTATACGGAGAGCCCGGTCCGAATGGGCATCATATTATCTGATCCCTTCTGGGACGTTAAGTACAAGATTGTCTCTGGAGATGACGATGGCCTTTTCAAAGCCGAGGAGGTAACCGTAGGAGATTTCTGCTTTCTGAGAATCAAAACCCGAAGCAGTTACTCAGCTGTGCTGAACAGAGAGGTACGAAACATTTACACTCTCACCGTCGAGGCTACCGAAAGCACCTATGACAACCGAGCTAGAACAAAGGTATCGATCCAAGTGCTTGACACAAATGATCTGAAACCACTCTTCTACCCTGCCTCTTATCATGCACTAATCAAAGAAGACACACCAATCAAGTCGAGTCTGGTGAGAGTGAGTGCAACGGATGCTGATATTGGCAGCAACGCAGAATTTTATTACTCATTCACCACTAGATCACACCCCTTTGCCGTTGATCCTTTCACAGGGACCGTTACACTTATCAAGACGCTTGACGCCAGTCAGAGAGACAGGTATGAGCTGACTGTGCTGGCAGAGGACAGGACAAAGAAAATCTCTGGCGTGCAGAAGTTTGGAAATGTTGCAAAGGTTGTTGTGGCCATACAAACTGTGACAGAAAACTTTACCCTCGTCACACCCACCAGTGCAGCGACTCCACAGATGGATGACGACAAAATAAGTGTGAACATCAAAACGGAACCCAAGGAAAAGGAGAAAGTGGCATCTTTAAGTATAGTTGAAGGGGATCCGCTGAAGTGCTTTCAGATTATTCCATCGACGTTGCATGATGGTGGCTTTCAATTGGTCTCAACAAAATGGATTGATTGGTCGCAAAACCCATTTGGACTAAACATTTCCCTGCAAGCCAAAGACAGAAGAAACCCTCCTTTGCTAACGCCGATAAAAACCGTGCATATACCTCCTCCTCCTCAAGTTAAACCTTTGGCATTCGATCAAGAACTCTATTACGTCACTCTCAGTGAATTTTCTCCACCGAAAAGTCACGTAGTTCGAGTATCTGTAGGTTTGAGTTTCAAAAATATAACCTACAGCATCAAAGAAAACCTGGATAGCTATAAATTCAAAATCGGTGCCAAAACTGGTGTGATAATGACTTCTCAGACTCTTGACTTTGAAAAGCACTCTCACTATGAGTTTGATGTCACCGCAAATGATGGAGAAGCGTTTACCCGTGTCGTTGTGGATATAATTGATGAAAACGATAATGCCCCCAGGTTCACGTTGCCCTCATACCAGGCTTCTCTGCCTGAAAACGTCCCGATCGGAACAAGCATCTTGGCTGTCTCTGCTATTGATGTGGACAAAGATAACAATGGTTTTGTAACATACTCCGTAGCAAACACAAGTCCAGTTCCTTTCAATATAGACCCACTGACCGGTGTGATTTCGACCTCTCAGGAGTTTGATTATGAGCTTATGAAGAGATGGTACCACCTGAGAATCTGGGCGTCTGATAGCGGAAGCCCTTTCAACAGAGTAAGCGAATGCTCCGCAACCATCACCATGACCAACGTCAACGACAATGTTCCAGTGTTTGAGCGGGTAGCATGCAATGCCTCCATACCCCGAGACTTTGCTGTGGGGGAGAGTATTGCAGAGATGTCAGCACTCGATCTGGATGAGCTGCAGCAGATCATATACAGGATAGAGTCTGGGAATGATGACGAACTGTTTACAATTAACAACGTTTCTGGCTCCATTAAACTTGCTAGGGCAATTCCCTCAAAGTACGAAGGCACAGAAAATCCTTTTTATATACTTAAAATCACAGCAACAGATGGCAAATATAGTGCTGACCCCAACACCGTGACTGTGCGTATCACAAACAAGGGCGAAGTCGCCACCACACATTGCGAGGAGACCGGAATTACAAGGCAGTTGACAGAGAAGCTTATTGAGTCATTTAAGCCGTCTCTCAACGCCAAAGAAGAAGAGTATATCTCAGACGTTCATATAATTAACCTGCACTCTCCAAAGTTTATCGCAGGCACACCAAGCTCAATCGACATCAGGGAAGACTTTGCTCTTGATAGATCTGTGTTGCAGTTTAATGCCACTGACAATGACTCTGGCTTTAACGGAAAGCTTGTCTATGCAATTTCCAGTGGAAATGAGGATGGATGTTTTACTATTGACATGAACACAGGTGAACTGCAGGTAATCAGTGCTTTGGATAGAGAGCAAAAAGAGTTTTACATTCTCAACATAACCGTGTATGATCTGGGATCTCCACAAGCCTCTACATGGAAGCTGCTTGCTGTTAACGTTCTTGATGCAAATGATAATCCTCCGTTATTTTCTCAGCCAAGATATGTTGTGAACATCGCAGAAAACACAGAGGTTGACAAAAGCATATTCAAAGTCAATGCAGTCGATTTTGACTCTGAAGACAATGGAGCATTTACATTTTCATTGCTAACCTTCACCGATTTGTTCAAGATTGATGAAGTCACAGGGGTGGTGAAGGTAACTGGGCCTTTAGACAGAGAGACCTTTAGCAGATACGACATAACAATTGAGGCCCGAGATCAAGCCAAACTGGACCCACAGCTTTTCTCATTTACAGATCTGGTGGTTGTACTGGAGGACATCAATGACAATCCTCCAAAGTTTGTACCTACAATCTACAGGATCAAAGTTCCTGAGGATGTTCCTCCAGGCACAGTGCTGTTGTGGGTCGAAAGCTTTGATTTAGATCTGGAGAGCGGAGGTCTCATAAGCTACAACCTAAAGAACAGTGAAGCAGGGACGTTTTTCTTGGATACATCCACAGGGTGCTTGACTCTGGAGCGTGAACTGGACTATGAGAAGCAGCAGTCGTATAATCTAACAGTTCGAGCTGTAGACCACGGAAAGCCCCGGTCTTTATCATCTTCATGCTTCATTGAGGTTGAAGTGTTAGATGTAAACGAAAACCTGAACCGGCCCCTCTTTACCCAGTTTGTGCATAACGCAGCCATTATGGAGGATGCTACAGTAGGAACCTCAGTATTGACACTAACCGCTGTAGATAACGACCTGGGACGAGATGGAGTAGTCAGATATTACATCCATGATGGCTCAGGGCTTGGCGTCTTCACAATTGATGAAGAAACAGGTATGATTTTGATTACAACACGTCTCACATGCTTTACCTAGATAGAAAAATACCTCATGGATATTGCTGACCTTTTCTATTACAGCACCTGCCTTAAGCATGTTGGGTCAACACTGCATGTTCAAACATTTATCAGATCAGTCATTAGGCATACCAAACATATGTAAAGACAAAATGATACATAACTTTCTCCTGCACGTTGAAAGATATTAGGCATTTGCCAATAACATTTGTTACATTACATAAACTATTATTCTTTGACTATATAATTATTGGGTTGAGTTTTGCAGTTCTTGTGCACATTGTATGATGAAGTGATTTTAGAATGAAAGGACAAAAAAACAAATGTTGATACTTGTTATGAATGTTTGATAATACTTTAGATTAGGGAACACGTTCACTTTTAGTTTTCCCTCAATGAACTACTAATTTGCTGCTTATTAATAGTTAGTAAGTTAGTTGATAAAGGGATAGTTCACCCAGAAAAATAAATTCTGTCATTAATTACTCACCCTCATGTCGTTCCAAACCTGTAAGACCTTCGTTCATCTTCGGAACACAAATTAAGATATTTTTTAATGAAATCTGAAAGCTTTCTGACCCTCCATAAACAGCAACACAACTACCATGTTCAGGGCCCAGAAAGGTAGTAAGGACATCGTTAAAATAGTCTATGTGACATCAGTGGTTCAACCTTAATTTTATGATTTTTGTCACATGGACATAAAATTAAGGCTGAACCACAGATGTCGCATGGACTATTTCAGTGATGTCCTTACTACCCTTCTGGGCCTTGAACATGTCAGTTGCATTACTGTCTATGGAGGGTCAGAAAGCTCTTGGATTTCATCAAAAATATTTTAATTTGTGTTCCGAAGATGAACGAAGGTCTTATGGGTTTAGAACGACATGAAGGTGAGTAATTAATGACAGAATTTTCATTTTTGGGTGAACTATCCCTTTAAGTTTAGGTATGGGGTAAGGTTAAAGGATCTAAAATATGGTCATGCAGGATAAGGCATTAATATGTGCTTTATAAGTACCAATAAACAGCTGAAATGCTAGTAATATGCATGCTAATAAGCAACTAGTTAATAGTGAGAATTGGTCCTTAAAATAATGTATAACCGAATGTTTAACATTATATGAAGACAAGCACACATTTATTGTTAAATGTGCAGTATATTGCTGTTGCTATCGGTTAGTGATTCTGGACAATTACATTTTGCAGGTGTTATTCGGACCACAGGCCTTCTGGATCGTGAAGCCGTGCCACACTATTGGCTGACAGTTTGTGCAAAAGATCTGGGCACTGTACCACTGGTATCCTGGACCGAGGTCTACATTGAAGTTTGGGATATTAATGACAATCCCCCTGAGCTGTCCCAGCCTGTCTACTTTGGCTCAGTGCAAGAGAATTTGCCAAAGGGCAAATCTGTGCTAAAAGTATCTGCCACAGACATAGACAAGTCCTCTGAGGGGAAGCTCACTTTCCAGATCCTAGATTCTCAACGTGTATATTTCACCATTGACGCAAAAACAGGTAAACTCTATACTTCAAATGGTCCATCAGAAAGTACTTGTTCATCAGTTTTGGCTTTTTATGAGAATGATGAAACGGCACAAGTTGGTGATTCATGTCGTGCAATCTTTGATGGATTGATAAAACATGTCTAAGCACATGTTTTTTATAAGAGTGGTATGCCTCGTGAAGGGCACAATGAATAGGACCTCTAATTACTGTGAATACTATGATCAGTGTGTGTCATTTTATGTCAAGGGTGAGGACAGTTGTTAAGCATGCCCACAGAGTCACACAAACCGCAACACCTCTGACCCTTTTTGCAGCTCAACCTAGCCTTTGAACACTAGCTATGAAAATTCGAACTGCATTAACCAGCGTTGCAAGCTCGCACTTGTCTTTACTAAGTCCTGTCTCTTTGTTGTTTCATATGCCCCACCCTGAGCTAATAGTCAAGGATTACAAACAAGACAGGGGGTTGGGTTGTATTATATGAAGGATCTACCAAACTGAAATGTTCATTGGTAGATGTTTAAAAAATTTAGATGTTTGCATTTCCATTGTTATAGTGCTGGCGGGTTTGGCTGGAAGCTTGAGGTGAAAATTTCTGTCAAAAACCCAACCGGTGTGAAGCGTTACTTTTAAAAGAGATCTCTATGAATATTGTATGCATGCACTGTATAGTCCAGGAGGATCAAGGAGAATGCTAAATGAATATAAAAGTGTAATATAATCAATGCTACATCTCAAGAGCCAGCAGAGACAGCAACAAATCACACTCCAGTGCGGTTTAGCCTGCTTCCCTCAGGGCTAAAGGGACTAGAGTTTTTTTGGCGCTCCATGTCAGGACAGGACGGACTGAGATGACTAATCACTAGAAAGAACAATGTGACTAAGCTAACCGCCTTAACAGCTTAGCACCACTAAACCATAGCATTTATCGAATATGAACTCTTTCTAGTGAGTACGTAGGCAAGCCAAATATTTCTTGTGTGGGTTGGGAACTGAGTTTACATGATCAAAAGCCAAATGCTCTAGGGGAGATTAAAACACAAGAATCGAGACAAAAAGGGTTGCTTTGTAATTTTTTTGCATGCTGAAAGTGCTAAAGACGTGCTTTTAATCCATGCATTTGCCTTTTGTCCCATGCACGATAGAGCGATCTTTCCACAGGTGAGCATTAATGCCAAAACCACACTTTCAGGATTGCCTGCCTAAATACAGGCCGTCATAAAAGCCCAGCAGGGTTTGTTTTGAGTGCTGCACAAGACACTGTGGGTCCCTGCCAGCCCTCGTCTACTGAAACGACACTCTTAAGTGTTTATTGCAGTGGTGGTAAACCACTGTCACTGGTGCATTTTGTCCGCCCTTAAATCAGCTGTTGATCCATGGAGCACACTTAACCAAGCCCCTAACACCCAGTTTTAAAAAGGTGTCTGAAAACCTCTTGTACTAATTCACAACACTTCAGTGGCTCTTAAGCCGTGGCTCATTTTCTGCCAGTTTCTTGGCAACTGGGAAGTCTGGTCTTTTGGTCTACGTCAGCGATGGCTAAATCTTCACTGACACAGACGTGAATATTAACCGTTGTTCCCACGGCTTGTATACCACAGGTTGACCTAGTATAAACAGTGGAACAAAACAAAAAAGGTTTAAAAACAAAGCTGTGGGAAGGGAAAGTAAAACGGGCAGCCTGCGGTGAATGAACAGGTGTGCCATCCATCTGAAGCTGGTGGCATTGATCAGCCTGTCTGTTCTTCCTCTGTGTTTGTTTAGGTGTGATCAGCACCCTTGCTCCCTTGGACCGGGAACAAAAAGCAGAGCATATCATTGAGGTTGGTTCACTTGCTTCCTTCGGTTTACTAGGTCATGAACCTCAGGCCTGAGCATTTCTCTGGCTGATTGCTGAGAACATGTTGCGGTTTGTGTTTCCAGTGTCTTGTTATGTATTATAGTCTTAAAGGGATCGTTGTAAGTTACACATAAAGGAGAAATTTTGAATAATATTCAGGTGCGTCTTTGCTATACAACAATTCACGGTGTCCATAAGCTCCAAAATGACAAAAAAAAAGCATGATAAATGTATATATGACTTATTTTAAGTCGTCTGAAGCCAAGCCAAGTTTTGAGTGCTGAACAGACGGAAATGTAAAATGATTCACTCATAATCATTTCCTCAAGTGTGCTGTTAACTTCAGATCCATTGTGACCAAATCATTGAGTCAGTGTTGAATCAGAGAACCAGATCTGTCCAATTTGTGAACGAATCACTCTTTTGAGTCAGTTTTTTTTCTTTTCAACAAACTGGTTGATCTGGTTCACTAATCAAACATGATCAGTTTGAATCATTTGATATGGCACCGTTGTTGTGTGGTAAAGAAATGCATGAAGATTCACTTGAAATGTGTTCTATAAAAAGTAACCGCATTTCATTTTGGGTGAAGTACATGAAGCATATTTGTAGTGTGGTTAATACTTGGTAATAATAAAAGGGGGTGATTTTGAAAACATTTTTTCACCCATAAAAAAATTACATTTGATTTGAAATTGAAATGATGTTCTACCACTGAGCCACAGGAACACCAAAAAATTTATTTAAAGATAAATGCATTTTTGATTTGTGCACATGATGTTTCCCTCACCTGCCGTTGTTTAGGTCATGGTTTCAGATAAAGGGGCCCCTCCATTAAGCTCGACTGCAACCGTAGTCATTGAAGTCCTGGATGAGAATGATAATAGCCCTCAGTTCAGCCATAAGCTTTTCCAGGTAAAACTCCCTGAGCGGCAGAGCACGGCTGAGCCTCAGGAGATCTACAGGATGGTGGCTCGTGATGACGATGTGGGGCCCAACGGCATGATCAAGTACAGTCTGGAAGACAGCAGTGAGGATCAGTTTGATATTCATCCTGAGACCGGGGTGGTGACGGCTAGAGGAGAGTATGTCCGGGGCAACTACAGTATTCTGACGGTACGGATACAAACTAGGGCTGTGGACTTTTAGATTGACAAGGAATCAGTGTGATTCACAATGTTACAGTTTGGTTCAGAACAACCATTTGAATCAGTATTTTTAAAATGCATTTATACAGTTCTTTCCACTAAGTTATTAGGCAAGACATATTTCAGTTGTGTCATACCATTATTTACTCATGCGAGTCACAGTACTATCAGTTTTGGGGCGAAATCAAACATGAGGTGTAATTTTTTAAAGAAGTATGCTACAGGTCAAAAGTTTGGAATATTTAAGATTTTTTTTAAGTCTCTGCTGCTCACTAAGGCTGCATTTATTTGATCAAAAATATAGTGAAACTAAGATTGTGAACTATTATTGCAATTTAAAGGAACTGTTTTCTATTTGAATGTATTTTAAACAATATTTATTACTGTAATGACAGCTGGATTTTCAGCACCAAATTTTTATGGAAGATATTGTGATATTTGTTCCTATAATTTTTTGTAATTACTTTATTTTTTAGTAGTGTTATAACAAATTGTTTTCAGGCTTTATTGCATAAAATTAATATGCATCATTCTTGAAATATGACTTTTCAATTGAGAAAGCTGAATTTTTAGCATCATTACTCCAGTCTTCAGTGTCACATGATCCTTCAGAAATCATTCTAATAGGCTGATTTGCTGTTCAAGAATTTATTTCTTATTATTAGTAAAGTTGAAAATAGTTGTTCTGCTTAATATTTTTTTGTGGAATAATTTCTGAAAGATTATGTGACACTGAAGACTGGAGTAATGATGCTGAAAATTCAGCTTTACATCACATGAATAAGAAAACAGTTATTGTAAATTGTAATAATATTTCACAATTCTATTGTATTTACTGTATTTTGAATCAAATAAACAGCATTGGTAAGCACTTCTTTAAAAAATATTTAAAAATCCTAATTATTAAAACATTTTGACCAGTAGTGTAAATAATTAACAATTCAAAAGTCATGTTTCAAGAATAATGCATATGAATCTGCAGCAATTTTAAGCAACATATTCTGAAAACGAGTTGTTATAATCCTAAAACATTCTACAAGCATTAACAAAATTTATGCCAACAAATATGTGATATATTCCAATTACACAAACAGAAAAAAGATACACATTTTCATCTTTTGTTTTCTCCTTCACTATCATAGATTCAAGCAACAGACCAAGGCAACCCTCCAAGAATGTCTAAGGCCCGTTTGCATGTTGAATGGCTGCCCCAACCTGAGCCCAGCTCCGATGTGCTGGCTTTTGATGAGCCCCCCTTTAACTATGTGGTGATGGAGACCGATCCTGTCACTGACATGGTGGGAATCATCCGAACGGAGATCCCGCAGAACCTTCTATTGTTTGACATTATCGGTAAGCACCTCTCTATCACTTATCAAACTTAATTGTATTAGAGTCAAACAGTAAGGATGTTGGCTATCATGGTAAAGTACAACATGTAGGGGGACTGGTGTCACTGTGATGCTTTAGCGTCCCTCTCTGTGATGAGATCTGCGCCAGGAGGCTGATCTTAGCAGTGACACATTTCTTCAGATGATAAGCCAGAGCACCAGAGGAGCTGCCTTCCTCACAGCTCTGCCATCGGTCTCTCTGTAGCCGTGCAAGCAGCACATTTCGCCTGCAGTTAAGGGCTGAACCTGACCTTCACTCTGCTCCCGCATTCTTACCTTCAGCCCTGCAGACTCACTCTGAGAGGAATGAGCTTCAGTGGAAATAAATCACAAGCATTTGTAGTAGGGAGGGAAAACGAATGGCATGGAAGAGAATGCACCTGTTGGCTACAGATCTTGTTTTATCTCAGCGTGGTTCTGATATGATGACAGCGAGGCCCGCATTAATTTACATTCGTTATCTTACTCTTAGATACGAACACATTATATTTTAACCAGAAGACTGGTCAATCTGATGAAAAAGACTCTTTGATATGAGACCCAGAGTCATACATTTCAGATAACTTACAGATAGTTCTGAATTTGTCATGCATAATTTTGTGATTTATTAATGTTAGGTCATATATGTGGTGTCACGTTGTGCTTTAGATTATGATTTTTAATTTGATTCTGTAAGCTAGACAGTTAGAAGTGATGTGATTGCATAAATGCATAATTAAAAGTGCTAGTCTGTAAACCCTGCGCTTATTTAATTAGGAAGAAAACCAATGACAAAAATAAGCAGGTATTGTAATAAGTTATGGATTATTACTTTGCATGGCAGAATTAACTGTGCATAGTTGATTTGTTCATAAAAGCATTAAATAATCTATAATGGTTTTATGATGGACTTAAAAAGATAATTTATATTAAAAGCAATAATTTACATAAACAGTAGAAAAAATATTCACATTTGATGAGAATATAAGAGGTCTGAATCTTAGTGCAGTGTTGGTTAGAAGTTGAATGATTGCATCTCTAGTACTTTAACCCTAACCCTGACTTTTCATCGTTTAATTTGAAGGCTTTGTTTCACTGTAGCAGCCCATGAGAAGCCAATTATGTATTCATTAAAAAAGATCATCAGACAGCTTTTGTTCAGAATATATCTCTAAACCTCCATCAAGGCCAGTATTAGATATGGTTGATCTTCAGCAAAGAGATAGATCCATTTGAAGACTGCTTTGTAAAGTTTGGAAATAAACACAGTGAATAGACACCTGAAAATATAGTTATATTAAATCAGGAGCGGAAAATGGGCCTGAAATAGGTGGAATTTTTTATAAACACCATCTGTTAAAGCAAGCATGAATTTACCCCTACTGAGTAAGACGTCTGGTCTTTTTGTGCATGTGCCAAATATTTCCCCTTAAACAATAGTGCTGATCTGATGAATAGTGTCACAGGAGTGCCCTTGTTTTCTGTCATTATTGTACCAAGATGGGCATAACAACAAAGTCTCATGTGGGTGTTAGAGAGAAATTGCGTGATTGGTACCCATACTCTGAAATGTGAAATCTACAGTATGCTTGGTGCTTTTCATCAAGGCTTTTTTTTTGTTGCTACTCGTGTACTTATTTTGCTCATGCAAGATTTAGAGGATTGTACATTTATTACAGTTCACCTGAATCTAACTGTCGCAACACTTCATGTTACTCAGCCCTAAAGTAATGCATACGGGTTCACCCACAAAGGTTCACTCAGAGGTGCTGATGGCAAACCATCAGATGTGTGAAACATGTTATTTTCTAACGCAGCAGATTTTACATTGGACACTGAGTGTTGACCTAAAACAACAAAAGAACAGTACAAAAGTAAACAACAATTCTCTTAAAATCAAACATTATAATGCATTAATCTTCATCATATTAATATAATATAGAATTATAATATTAATTAATATCAATCTTAGCAGTCAGTAATGCAAAAAGCATGCATATAAACCGAAATGAAGCTACGTGGTTACATAAATTTATAATTAAAAGCACTAGTCTGTATACAAACATTGTAATAAGTTATTATTTTTATGGACTGTTGTAATTATGTAATATTGAAATGCATACATTTAAATAATATTACTGGAATATTAATTAAAACACATGAACAATGATTAATAGACCAGCTAGAGAATTAACAAATTAATATGCACCATACAGTTTGATTGGATACACGCCCTTTGATGAGTATAATACATGGGAAGTGGTTTTTTTTCTCCCTTTTAAAGTTGACAAGCCTTTTTTTGTGGTTGCATTTATGTGGTTAGTTCAGAACAAACCTCAGACCGATGGGTTGAGAACCACTGATCTAACCAATAGGTAATGTTATATCTCAGGTGGTGATGAAAAGCAGGACTTCTACATTGAGAAGAACACAGGGAGCATTGTGAAAGCTAGACGGCTGGATGCAGGCAGAACATCTCATTACAACTTAACAGTCAGAGTCTCAGATGGATTTCAGGCCATAACCACTCAGGTATGAGCACACATGCCAAATCCTTCACACAATGAATGCAGAGTCAATAAATTTATAGCGTGCAAATAGAATGCGAGATGAAAGATTTGCCATTGTTATCAGGTCAGCGTATTAATATGTCTCACTTTATGCCAATGGACAGCTGAGAGAGTAGTGGTTTGTCTTTCTTCTCTTAGGCCTACATTCAAGTAGTTGATATAAATGAGCATCGGCCCATGTTCTTGAAGAGCCTCTATGAGGTGAGAGTGCCAGAGGACACATCTCCATGGAAGGAGATCCTTCACATCAGTGCCCACGATGCAGATGCCAACAGTGGACTCTATTACTCCATAACTTAACAGTCAGAGTCTCAGATGGATTTCAGGCCATAACTGCTCAGGTATGAGCACACATGCCAAATCCATCACACAACGAATGCAGAGTCAATAAATTCATAGCGTGCAAATAGAATGCGAGATGAAAGATTTGCCATTGTTATCAGGTCAGCGTATTAATATGTCTCACTTTATGCCAATGGACAGCTGAGAGAGTAGTGGTTTGTCTTTCTTCTCTTAGGCCTACATTCAAGTAGTGGATATAAATGAGCATCGGCCCATGTTCTTGAAGAGCCTCTATGAGGTGAGAGTGCCAGAGGACACATCTCCATGGAAGGAGATCCTTCACATCAGTGCCCACGATGCAGATGCCAACAGTGGACTCTATTACTCCATCCACAGCAGCCTTAACCCAGACAGCCTCAAGTACTTTCACCTGGACCAAAGGAGCGGTGTGCTTGTCATGAAAGAGGAGCTAGACTACGAGACCATCTCCACTCATACTCTGATTGTGATGGTAAAGAGACACTTGACTTGACTCATCTAGACTCTCATCTCAAGGTCTTATGTAAATAGTAGCCAGTGCAATCTGTTGCAATTATGGGCAAGCTTTGATTAAATGGGCATGAAAACATTTAGTCATTTTTCCAGTTGAATGATATTAGAATTCATTTAATCATCTCGAGTCCCTCACATAATGATATAGATGGGGTCAGAGCACAGGGAAGACCATAAATCCACATTCCCGAAACATTCCTGACCTCAATTAAGCACCTAAAAGAGAAAAAAAAACTTAAAAAGTTATCTTCCTGACTCTTGCGCCACACACATTAACCCGTGTACTTTATCATTCCAGGTACGAGATGAGAAGATCCCAATAAAAAAGAACTTTGCAAAGGTTGTTGTGCATGTAGAAGACTGTAATGACCACAACCCATCTTTTCTGAGTACTCATTATGAGGGCACCATAAGTAATATGGCACTCACTGGCACGGAAGTGCTACGAGTCAAAGCCCTCGATAAGGATACAGGGAGCAATGCGGATATTGTTTATTCCTTTCACTCTGGTAAGACATTTGCCTGGAGCACTATGTTACCTTTGCTTTTTAACCACTTTTGTGTTCATGGAAAGCACAGATACAAGTCTTGGCTTAATACTTAATTTTAATGTGGCATTTATAAATACTCTTGGGTGGCAATTAAAAAATTATAATCATGTTTAATCTGTTTTTGACATTTAACACAAAATTCTCTTTTTTGTCCAGGTGGGAATGTAGATGGTGCCTTTGAAATCGACCAGGAGACAGGAAGCATTCGTGTGTCTGATGCATTAGACAAACTTCCGCAGGAGCAGTATCACCTCACAGTAAAAGCCACAGATCAGGGCTTTCCCCAGCGCAGTGCCCTTTGCCCCGTTACCATCACCGTAAAGCTGTCTGAATTCACACCACCCAGGTTCTCCTCCGAAGAATACATCACTGAGATAAGTGAGGCTGTGCCTCCTGGCTCCCCTGCACTGTCTGTCTCCGCCAGCTGCCCGTCTTCAGTGCTGTACAGGATCAATGACGGCGACCCCAATGGGACGTTCCACATCAACATAAATTCTGGACTCTTGTCTGTCGGAAACGCACTCGATTTTGAGCAACACCCTTCCTACCGTTTGACAATAAGAGCTACAAATACAGTGGGAGTCTCATCTGATGCAGTGGTTTACATTTATGTGATCGATAAAAATGACAACGCCCCTGTTTTCCATCAGGACACATATTATGGGCAAATTAGTGAGTCTGCGCCCATCAACAGCATGGTAACTGGGGAGAACAACACGCCGTTAGTGATTAAGGCATCAGATGCCGACAAAGACACAAACGCTCTTCTGATCTTCCAAATCCTTGAGCCTGCTGCTCAGAAAGTGTTTCAAATAGACCCAAGCATGGGTACCATCTTCTTAAAGTCTGCAGTTGACTTTGAGGCAACACCTGAATTTTTCTTCAGCGTTCAGGTGTGGGATTCTGGTGAGCCATCGCTAAGTGCTTCCAAGCCATGCAGAGTAAACATTCGTGTCCTGGACATTAATGATTGTCCTCCCAAATTTGCTTTACCTGTATATGAAACTGCCCTCACCTTACCAGTTTTTGAAGACATGGATGTGATTCAAGTGACAGCTCATGATGCAGATTCAGCAGTCACCTACATGATTTCAGAGAGCACTATTAAAAATGCTTTTAAAATAGACCAGTCCACTGGCAACATCTCGGTGAATGATTCGTCTGAACTAGAGTCCCATTATGAGTTAAAGATCACTGCCTCAGATGGGTTATATAAAGACACTACCCTAGTGAGATTAAATATCACCAATGCAACAAAGACTAGTCTGAATTTCGATGACAGGATGCATGTAGCCACCGTACTGGAGAACAGTACGTCTATTAAAATTTTAGCTGTTCTGAGAGCAACAGGTATCTACCTGAACGAGCCCTTGCAGTACACCGTCTTGAACCCACATGGGAAGTTTGCAGCGATTCCATCGTCTGGAATCCTGCAGACCACCGGCGTTCCGTTTGACCGGGAGGAACGGAATGAGTACGATGTCGCTGTGGAGGTCCGAGACATGAGGCATCCTCCACGTGTGGATGTCACTCATGTTAAGGTCTATATAGATGATATCAATGACAATGCCCCAGAAATATCAAATTTGCCTCATTCGCTGATGATATCGGATGAAACCGAACCAGGGGATGTTCTCTTTCAAGTGCTAGCAACCGACAATGACTCCGGTGAAAATGGATCCATACTATTTTCACTGGAGGATGATTTCAGTCTCTTCAGAATCGATCGTTATCTTGGAGATGTGTCGTTACTAAGACCTTTAGATTTTGAGTCTGTGAATAAATATGTTCTCACTGTACTGGCGTCAGATGAGGGTGAGCCGAGCCTGTCAGCCGCCGGGACGCTGTACGTCCAAGTGCAAAATCGTTCTCATCCGATATTTCAAAGCCTGTACTACCCATTGAAATTACCTGAGAATATTAAGCCATTTACAACGATCCTGCATGTGCAAGCAAGAAATCCTGAAGGATACCGCCTTATCTACAATCTAGAGGAAGACAACGCCTCCAGGTTCTTTAACATCGATTTTAAAACAGGGGTCTTAAGTGTCACTGATTTCCTAGACTTTGAGACTCAAACAAAGCATATTTTGACTGTTCGTGCCACGGATTCGGTGACTGGCACCTTTACCGAAGCCAAAGTAGAGATTGATGTGGAAGATATAAACGACAATGCCCCTGTCTTTCAGAGTCTGTCTTATGTTACAGATATGTCTGAAGGCCTTCCAATAGGCACATCTGTTTTACAAGTCTCGGCTGTTGATAGAGATTCAGGCAGGAATTCAGATATGACTTACCAGCTGGTTGACAAAGAAAATGATTTTTTTGAAATCGACCCACTAAGTGGAATTTTGGCGACATCGCAAGTATTGGACTATGAAACCTCGCAACAGTTCACTCTGAAAGTTAAAGCCACAGATAAAGGCACACCACCTCTCAGCGATGAGGCTCAAATCATCGTGAACGTCATAGATGTTAATGATAACCCTCCAGATTTTAGCGAGCCATCTTATCGGGCCTCTCTTGATGAAAAGGCCACTTGTGGCCACATCGTTATCAAAGTTCAGGCTTCAGACCCCGATAGTAAGGATGACCTCCAATATAAGATCCTGTCAGGCAATGAAGGGAGATATTTCTCTATTAATGAATCATCCGGACTTATCTCGTTCTCGAATGTGTGCAAAAGAAACCTGGATCCGTTTTATAACCTCACCGTTGCGGTTTCCGATGGTGTGTTTCAGAAGACTGCCCCTGTTAACATTGACATGACAAACGGCAACAAGCACAGCCCCTATTTTAGCCAGAACATTTACGAAGCAGATCTGGCAGAGAATGCAGAAGTGGGAACTCGTGTGATCCGATTGGCTGCTATTGACCCGGACGATGGTCCATACGGCAGTGTTGATTACACCATCATTAACAAGCTTGCCGATGAGAAGTTCTCTATCGATGAAGATGGACAAATTGTGACTTCTCAGTCTTTGGACCGAGAAAATCCATCGCAACGCGTGATCGCGATTAAGGTCATGGCTAAGGACGGAGGAGGAAGAGTGGGGTTTTGTACTGTAAAGATTATTCTAACAGATGAAAACGATAACGCCCCTCAGTTTAAAGCCTCAGAGTATCAGATTTCCATTCAATCCACAGTGAACAAAGGCTCACCGGTTATACAGATAATGGCTTATGACGCAGATGAAGGTAAAAATGCTGACGTCACTTACACAGTAGAAGAGGCGGAAGAGGTTACAGAAGATATTATTGAGGTCAACCCTTTTACCGGAGTGGTCAGCGTCAAAGAGAGTCTGGTTGGTTCGGAGAATAAGATTTTCAGCTTCAAAGTTAAGGCCAGAGATGGAGGCATACCTTTTTACAACTCCTCTGTGCCAGTACAGGTCAAAGTGGTCCCACCGGAGGTCACTCTGCCCCAGTTTACAGAGCCATTGTACTCGTTCTCAGCATCTGAGGACCTCCCTATCGGATATGAGATAGGGACAGTCAAGGCAGACGCTGACATGCCACTGATATACAGCTTGGTGAATGGCAACACTATAGACAGCAACAAAGAACATGATTTTGCTGTCGACAAAGACAGCGGTACTCTTGTTATGCAGAAGAACATTGACCACGAAAAAACCAAGGTGTACAAGATCGATGTGATCGCTCAAGGAAGTCACAATGGCACCGATGTAGCATCTCTTGTATCTGTTCACATAGAGGTTCAAGATGTTAATGACAATCAACCTATGTTTGAGGCTGACCCCTACGAGGCCTTCCTGGCTGAGAATTTGCCCCCTGGCACCACGGTCATTCAAGTGACAGCTAATGATGTAGATACAAACGTCAATGGAGAAGTCTCATATACACTTGTGCCGGAGTCAGATGATATTGGCGACATGTTTACCATGGATTCGCAAACTGGCTGGATTATTACCTTAAAGAGGGCTGATTCTGAGACCAAACAGCTTTATAGGTTCTATGTGGTGGCCACTGATCATGGCGACGCTGTCAAACTATCCTCTTCAGTACTAGTTGAGGTTACTATCACAGATGAAAATGATAACCCACCTCAGTTTACAGAGGAACTGTACCAAGGGTCCATCCTTGAGAACAGCAGGCCTGGAGAAACCATTGTCACTCTGACGACTGCTGATAAAGACGTGTCTGCAGAAAACAGACAGATTGTATGTTATATAACAGGTATGCAAAGTCACTTGTGTAGTTAAATGATGCCTCATTGTCTGTAGAGATTACAGTTGTCATTACCAAGTTTAAATCACTCACGAAACTGAGTTCTGGTAGTTCTTCTGGTTTTACAGTTCAGTTTTGACATTTTATTTCAAGTCTGACTGTTGTGTAAACAGTTTTGCATGGGTGAAGTTATGTATTTTGGTTTTAAACAAATACTGTTGGTGTTTTCATCTCTGAAGATGGAGACCCATTGGGCCAGTTCTCGGTCACAGCAGCAGGGGAGGAGTGGACAGTGATTTCCAAAAGTCAGCTTGACCGAGAAGACAAAGACAGATATAACCTTAAGATAATCGCCACAGATGGAAGGTTTCAAACATCTGCTAATGTGGAGGTCCATGTTCTTGACCTCAATGACAACAGTCCTTTGTGTGAGCAAGTAAGTCAGATAATCTCCAGAAGATATATGTATATGTGTGCTTCTTCAACTATGACCACTTTGTCTCTGAAAATAAATGCAAAATAGCAATAAATAAATCTGGTGAAATGAATGCATTTTTTAAATGTAGGAAGAAATAAACAATGAATGCATGGGAAAAAGTTACCAATATGTTATTCATAAAGTAGATTGAAAGTAAAAACACCCTAGGGACATAAAAGTGCCTGTAGAAACACCCAAATACTAAAAGTACTTGGGTTATTGTTCCCAAATGACAAAACTTGATGAAATATGATGTTAATGTTGAAATATGATGGCGAGCTATTTTTTGTTGTTGAAAACTTCCCACTTGGAATACATTTAGTAACTTTTTCCCTTTTCCCAGTTACTTTATACTGAGGCCATCATGGAGAATTCCCCATCGGGCTTGTTCATCCTGAAGATCTCTGCTTCTGACCCCGACATTGGGACAAATGGCCAAGTGTCATTCACTCTTCATGGACCTAATGCAGACAAGTTTCATCTTGATTCCAGAACTGGTAATTTTGATCTCCAGATCTAGTTCCTCCTGCATTTTCCTAGAAGAATTCACTGTTTAAAAATAGTTCGAAACAGTTAGAGATTGCCTTTGCTTACTAATGTTTTGAGGAAATTCAATCAACAACAAAGATAAGAGGCAACTTTCCCAGGGCATTTGGCATTTTTGGAATTCCTTGTAACAATGAGAGTATTTGATTTATGATAATTTTATGTGACTTACCTTCTTCCAGAGTATCCAATCTAAATGTAACATCTTTTAAGACTGTTATATTGGGTTTCCAAGATACAAGATGCATGAAATGCTTTGGGAAAAGCTAGAAACAAAGGACTGTGTCCAACTCTGTAGTGTTAAATTCCTGAAACTGCAACTTTCTTTGTTTTTTTGTAGCCATGTTAAAGAAAAGAAACCACTAACTCCAAGTAAATAATCTGTTGCACACCTTTATCAAATAAATAACTAGTCAAGGCTCGTCTCATACATGTTACAACACCTTGCGTTTAACCCTCCCCTGTTATTGTCAGTAAAGCCATGTTTCGAGCATATGCATGTTTTTTTTTTTTTAGGAGAGCTGTTCACGCTTGCTGTCTTGGACCGGGAGCGGGAAACAGAATATGATCTTGTTGTCAAAGCGACTGATGGCGGTGGCCGCTCTTGTCAGGCAGACGTCACACTCATGGTGCAAGACATGAACGACAACCCGCCACAATTCTCCACAAGCCATTATGAAATCACGGTGTTTGACAACACAACGATTAGGACGCCTATAGCTGTCATCTATGCCAAAGACCCAGACACAGGTATGGTACTGCATCTCTTGTCACGAATGGCTGCTTTAAAGCAAAAAACACAGACTATTTTCGGCTTATCCACTCAGAAAGCATTCAAAGCCCCCAGGTTTTTTCCTTGACCCATTGCACGCTGGTTGAAATCCTAAAGGTATGCAGCGTTTGATGTGGGAATGAAGGCTGTGGCAGAGAAACATGATTAGGGAGGGACAGACCACACCTGGAGATGTGTGTGAACATGTACACATACTGACTACCGTCACAGGGATTCATGTGAATTTGAACTACTTTGCCTTTTATATAATATGTCTTCAAGTGAATTAATGACATTATCCTCTCTAAGCACAAGTATTACGCAAATGTGCAAAGTCAAAGAACAGAATGTGTTTATCTTGCAGTGTGACCATCAATCAATACTAACACTTTATTTTGATAGTCCACTTTGCTAACTATTTATGTGACTTACCTTCTTCCAGAGTATCCAGTGTAAATGTAACATCTTTTAAGACTGTTATATAAGGTTTCCAAGATACAAGATGCATGAAATGCTTTGGGAAAAGCTAGAAACAAAGGACTGTGTCCAACTCTGTAGTGTTAAATTCCTGAAACTGCAACTTTCTTTGTTTTTTTGTAGCCATGTTAAAGAAAAGAAACCACTAACTCCAAGTAAATAATCTGTTGCACACCTTTATCAAATAAATAACTAGTCAAGGCTCGTCTCATACATGTTACAACACCTTGCGTTTAACCCTCCCCTGTTATTGTCAGTAAAGCCATGTTTCGAGCATATGCATGTTTTTTTTTTTTTAGGAGAGCTGTTCACGCTTGCTGTCTTGGACCGGGAGCGGGAAACAGAATATGATCTTGTTGTCAAAGCGACTGATGGCGGTGGCCGCTCTTGTCAGGCAGACGTCACACTCATGGTGCAAGACATGAACGACAACCCGCCACAATTCTCCACAAGCCATTATGAAATCACGGTGTTTGACAACACAACGATTAGGACGCCTATTGCTGTCATCTATGCCAAAGACACAGACACAGGTATGGTACTGTTTTCTCTTGTCACGAATGGCTGCTTTAAAGCAAAAACACAGACTGGCTTATCCACTCAGAAAACATTAAAAGCCCCCAGCTTTTTTTCCTTGACCCATCACACGCAGATTGAAATCCTAAAGGTATGCAGCGTTTGATGTGGGATTGAAGGCTGTGACAGAGAAACATGATTAGGGCGGGACAGACCACACCTGGAGATGTGTGTGAACATGTACACATACTGACTACCGTCACAGGGATTCATGTGAATTTGAACTACTTTGCCTTTTATATAATATGTCTTCAAGTGAATTAATGACATTATCCTCTCTAAGCACAAGTATTACGCAAATGTGCAAAGTCAAAGAACAGAATGTGTTTATCTTGCAGTGTGACCATCAATCAATACTAACACTTTATTTTGATAGTCCACTTTGCTAACTATAAGCAACTAGATGTCAACTAACAGTCATTAGAGTATTAGTAAACTGTCTGCTTAATATCTGCTAACTCTTTATGACTATAAGTAACTTTGCAAGTACATGTCAACTTATTCTACCAACCCTAACCTAACAGTCTACTAATACTGAAATGAGTGTTAGTTGACATGTAGTTGCAAATTAATGAGAGTTAGTTGATATGAATGTTGCAAAGTTACTTATAGTTAGTAGAATGTCTAAAGTCTAAGTGTTCCTGTGGCTCAGTGGTAGAGCATTGCGTTAGCAGCGCAAAAGGTTGTGGGTTCAATTCCCAGGGAACACACATACTGGTAAAAAATGTATAGCCTGAATGCACTGTAAGTCGCTTTGGATAAAAGCTTCTGCTAAATGCATAAATAAATGAAGTAGACTATCAAAATAAAGTGTAATCAAATCAACAGTAACCAATTAAATAATTATGCGGTAACACTTTATTTTAAGGACCAATTCTCACTATTAACTAGCATGCATATTACTAATATATTGGCTGTTTATTAGTACTTATAAAGCACATGACTTATTTTGCATGACCATATTTTAGATCCCTTAATACTAAACTTAACAACTAGCTTACTAAGCAGCAAATTAGGAATTTATTGAGGTAAAAGTCATTGTCAATAGTTAGTTAATAGTGAGAAATAAACATATTACTTTTAAGACCCCGAATCATTTTTAGGCATCTGTTGTTCTGCCATTCCTGAACTGAAATACTGAGAATATTATGTTATGTAACTCTTCCAGGTATAAACTCAGAGGTGAGATACTCTCTTCAAGGCGCCGACAGCGGCTTCTTCTCCCTAGATGAAATCTCAGGCATTCTGAGACTGGAGAGATCTCTAGCCGATGAGATCAAGTCCACTTATGAGATGAAAGTCAAAGGCACTGACCGAGGCCTCCCTCGCCACCTTTTCTCCTTCGCCACCATTACAGTACACGTGGTCGTCCTGAGTGATTACCAGCCATTGTTTCTTAGCTCGGACTACTCAGTACAGATCCCAGAATCACTTCAGATCGGGTCGGAGGTGATCAGCGTGTCCGCCCTCACCAAAGATGGCACAGAAAGTGAGCCTGTGCGATATACTGTCATCTCTGGCAATGAAGACAGCCGATTCCAGATAAACCCCATGACAGGTACGGGCTTTTTAATTGAGGTTTCTTTTTTGATGCATGTAAATGAAATTGGTTGATGAAATATACGGCATCAAACATGTCAACATTTTTATACACTGTATAGAAACACTTTAAATTTCAGAGGTAGATTTAGGTTTATTTTTGGTAGTTTGAGATCTTTTATTAGTGCAACCAACAAGAAAAATACGAAGATATGGTGAGTTGCATAGTTAAATGTCAACCCCCAAAACAACGATATTTATGAATTAATGATATAAAACAAATACTTCTAACTTTGAACATGTATTTAATGCACTCGCACGTATTCAAGGTGTACGGAAAAGGTTTTTACTTTTCACTTGATGGTTATGTGGCATTCTGAAAGTGATTAAATGTAATATTTTCTTGAAAATGCCATAAAAGTTCTAATATTGTTTTCAAAAAATTTGGTCACACTTTATTTTAAGGCCCACAGTTAACTATGACTTTTGCATCAATAAACTCCTAATTTGCTGCTTATTAATAGTTAGTAAGGTAGTTTGTTATGTGTAGGATTAAGGGATCTAAATTATGGTCATGCAGAATAATGCATTAATATGTGCTTTATAAGTACTAATGAACAGCCAGTATGCTAGTAATATGCACTGGAATTGGTCCTTAAAATAAAGTTTTACTGAAAGTTCTTATGTATTTTAAAGGGGTCATATGATGTTGCTAAAAATAACATTATTTTGTGTATTTGGTGTAATGAAATGTGTTTATGCGGTTTAAGGTTAAAAAAACACACTATTTTCCACATACTGTACATTATTGTTTCTCCTCTATGCCCTGCCTTTCTGAAACGCGTGGTTGACTCTTAACTTTTATAAAGAATGTCTCTTTGGATTTGAGACTTTAGTCTTTGCAACTTTAAAGACCTTCTTTATGCACCAAGAGCTTGTAACACTCCAAAGAGAAAGGAAAAATTTAAATCGCATCATATGACCCCTTTAAACTTTTTAGGAACCCTTTAATGAAAAAATCTGATATGAAAAGATTTGACTGCAGCCCATGTAACTTGATCAATTACACTGACTTTGAGGCTGAATATGTTTGTGATCTATGTGCAGAACATTACTCATCATTACTTGCAGAAAGAAGACATGAGGTATTAGCATGCTGCCATTGATCCTCTGTGGCTTATTCCTATTGTGTGAAGCTGGAATTTTCTTCAGCATGAGTAAATGTTAAACAGAAGAACCTGTGCTGACATGTTCTGAATCCACACAGGCACTTGTCAGCTTGTTTATTCCCATCTGTTCATTCCTCTTAGTCTCTCCTCTCTCTCTCTCGCTCGTGTCCTCTTATCGCGAATCCTCAGAGCCTTCGTGCTGTAGGACTTTTGTGAGAGATTGAGCCAAACTCTTTATTAGCTGTCAAACAATACGCTACTTTGAGTTCTGCTAGCTGCACAAATCAATTGGCTATTTAGTGATCATTTCAATCCAAAAGCTATAAGTCCACTGTGTAGTTGCTTATAGTCTCAGCACATAACAGTCAAGCTCAGGTCTGCTGGGTATGCATTCAATTTTGGACATTTTCGTTTTGCTTAGAGTGTAGTGCTATCTAGACAAACCTTTATATGGTATAAGAAAGTAAAGAAAATGGATGATTTATTGTAGTTCAGTTTTTCTAGTGTTATCATGTCAGCAATATTTTCTTTCAGTGGATTCTTTTAGTGAAGTACAATATTTTTTTGCATGTCATGAAATAATTGAAATTCATCAATCATACATTAAACCACTTGCTCTGTATTATTTAGCCTTTTTCTCTGCAAGGTGAAACTGAATAATTGTAGGATTAAAAAATCTCTTAAACCTAATTAAGTGCAATAAGAACCAGTAACATTGATGGATTCATGAGTAAGATGATTTACATGATGTAGCCATGAATTACAGAAATAAAAAATATGACCACATTAGACAATCACCTGACCTACTCTGGTGAAAAAGTGATCATAATTTGATTAACAGCATAACACCTCTGACATTTCAAAAGGACTTTTAAATCAGGGGGGCTTAATGAAATGTCACAGAAATATTAAGAGTATGGACAGATATCTAATGGCTGTATCACTGCAAATAGCTTAGTTTAAAATATCAGTTTGCTACTGCACTTTTAAAATGACTCTGAAATAAAGAAGAATAACATCTAAAAATGAAAATATAGCTGCTTACTTTAGGTAATGGTTGAACTGGCAAGTTTGCGCTTGTTCATTAAAACTGGAAGGTCCACAAGGGTTAATTTTGTGCAAGTGAGTCGTTTTGCAGGTTACTGTCGGCTAATTAACTGCATTATTTAATTGTGAGGGACAATGAGGCGATGAGGGAGAGATTAACTTTTTTTTGGTGAATGACGATGAGGCAGTGAGGGATAGATGTACAGTCTGTTCAGCAGGTTGTACTTTTGTGATCTGGGTGTTGATCATCAGTCAATTAAAGCTGTCCATGCTCACAATAATTATTAAAACAGGCAAAGCTACTCAACACAGTACTTGTCATTGTGAGCTGAAGGGACATAATCCTTTATTGTCAATAAAACATTCATTCTGTATGTGTGACATAAACATTAGAGGATAATAGGAGCTATTATATGCTATAGATTCATAACTGTTTTTAGACATTCTGACATGATAAAGCACATGATTTTGTCATTACAGGAACTCATGAATGGGACTGACTACTTTAGACATTCTACTAAGTAACTTTGCAACTACATGTCAACTAGCAGGAAATTATTCTACTATCCCTAACCTAACAGTCTGATAATACTCTAATGAGCGTTAGTTGACATGCACTGTAGTTGCAAAGTTACTAATAGTTATTAGAATGTCTAAAGTGGATCATCGAAATAAATTGTAACCCATGAATCATATAACCCCTTATAAAATAATGTAATTTTTCCAGTTTTTGCATCTTCCAGTAGATGTCACAGTTTTACATCTTATTACCCACGGTTCAGTGTCACATTGCATCTCTCACGCTTTGATCTCTGCTCAGACAGAATGCTCTAAAATTATTTCTGTCATTCAAAGCAAATGAAAAATAGAAATAAGACCAGGCATAAACTGATGTCTGACACTGATGGCTATTGCAATCCACATGGACTGTTATTTTTATGAATGCCTCAAAGCTGCATCATTCTCCATCTTACAATTAAATGATCTACAAATACACATTTGGCCCTAGCGAGCCAAAGCAGAGAACACACTGATGCATCTTCATCACACTTGACATTGACAAGTGCTCCTTTTGCTTAGACCAGGATTGCTATTGCTGTCCACTCTTGCATTGAACACAAGCTCTATGTTCAAACACAAGCACAAACACGCCTATATTGACAGAATGTGAGCCAAGGACAAACACAGCCCTGTTAATAATACGGTGGAGGATCTCTAAGAAAGCCATTAAGTGACACAACATATCCCTTGATCTTTAAAATCAATAAAAAGAAACATTATAGAAAGCAATTTTGCACTTGTTGCAAACTGGATTCTTGAGCTAAGCAAAAAATGCCAGTGCTTCAGTGCCGTCTCGTTTACTCTAATAATGTGAGCAGAACGACCAGCAAAAGGTCCAGTAGGAAACTTTCTCTTCTGCTTGAGAATAAGACATAAAATAGCAGCGTCTACCCATAATGCACAGAGCAAATCCCACCGGCTTTTCAAATGCTTTAGATAAATCAGCTTCTTGTAGGAATCAACTGCTTTGCAAAAACAGAAAATGCAACATTGCATAAAATAGTGACGTGACGTGGCCAAGTATGGTTACCCATACTAGGAATTAGTGCTCTGCATTTAACCCATCCTAAGTGCACACACACAGAAGTGAACACACACACACACACACACCGTGAACACACACCCGGAGCAAATATATCATGCATTCAGTCCAACTCCACTGGGAAGTACATGAGGGTTATTAGTCATGTTGGAATGTGAGTTTTCTATGTGGTCAGCTGATGCAACAATAAAAGAAAATCAGCTGGTGTTACATTGAAATGCTTTAAAACCTCATTAAGTTTCTGTCAGCACTATTCTGTACTGAGCATACAGTATGTTAGGCTCACAATAAATACAGTTTAGTTTGGATAAATCTAAATCAGATGAGCATAAACTTTGAACAATAAATCTTTCATTATCACACTTCCCATTAGAAACAGGTTTCTCTTCATTCACCAAAACTCCCAGACCAGCTGGTAACGTGCTTCTGTCACTGGGGAAGTGCAAAACAAACTCATCCAACCCAAGAGATTTTGTGTCCTGCCAGCATTGTATTTTGTATTTTAAGACACTATTTAGTATTTTTAATCCAAACTTTCCCTTTTTTTCCAGAATTTTTGCCATTACTTTGAACCAGCTGGAAACTGATAAAGAGATGGCCCAGGCCTGGATGTGATTTTGTTGTTTTGTGCCACAGGTTTGCTGGCGGTGAACTCCGCGCTGGATTTCGAGCTCTGTCGTGAGTATTACCTGTCAGTGGAGGGAGCAAGGGGCAAACCGTCGCTCAGTGACATTGCCACGGTTATCATCAATATCACAGACGTCAACGACAACCCGCCTGTCTTTAACCGCAGTAGCTACAGTGCTGTGATTGCAGAGGACATTTCCCCTGGGGACATGGTTCTGCAGGTATCACGCTTTCCCTTAACTCTCACTGAACATCCAGTGATAAAACTTTTCAATCACGCTGTACTTTAGGCTCCAATTTTCACTAAAACTAACTATTAACTATGACGTTTGCCTCAATTAACGCCTAATTACTGCTTATTATTCATTAGTAATATAGTTGTTAAGTTTAGGTATTGGGTATAAGGGATCTAGAATATGGACATGCAGAATAAGTGCTTTGCAAGTATTAATAAACAGCCAATATAATATTAGTTTTTTTAATACAAAAAAAAACTAAACAAATCAAAATTGTATATAAAGATATTAATATGCAATAACAATATACAGATATTAAGAGAATATTATTATCTTGAATTAAGTGCATTTTTCTTACCACATCAGAAGATTATATTTTTTCTTGTTTAAAGCATAAACCCTGATAGATAGATAGATAGATAGATAGATAGACAGATAGATAGATAGTTAGTTAGTTAGTTAGTTAGTTAGTTAGTTAATTAGTTAATTAGTTAGTTTATGGGAAAAATGATGCCCCTCCTTTTCTTTCTACTCTGTCTCGGGAAATCAGACATAAGAAAAATGTAATTTGTATGAAAACAGGTTGTAATATTCTATACACAATTTGTAAACAAACAAACAAATACAATGTTATTTTAGTATTATTTATATACAATGATATTATGTATTAGTATTTTTTCTTAGTTATTTTTATATTTTAGTTATAATTTTAATTTTAAGTTTTAATCATTTTATTATGTGGTTTTGCCATTTTTTTATATTTATTTATTTATTAATATTTCTATTTAGCTTTAATTTATTTTTAGTTTTAACAATTTTAGTACTTCAAATTATTTCAGTTCTGCTAGAGCAACATTTCTAATTTTCGTACATTTAAAAAAATTCATTTAATACCCATTATTTGATTTCAGCTTTATTGCAATTAACAAAGTATTTTAATTGTTTTCCTTTGTTAAAGTAAATATAGACTTTTAATTAAAGATAGACTTTTAATGGAAAACAACAAAAACATACTGATTATGACAAAATTATTTTTAGCATGCTTTTTCTGGATTGTTATCATATTGCCTTTGACTTCATATGTAAGGTGTCTCAGACTTTTTCTACAATGCTTTCTATGACGCAAAATAAAGCCAACTGTTGTCAGTCTGGTGACGGGATTGAGGCAAGCTATTGTGGCAGCTGTTGAGTGAATGATTTACTGCATCTGTCAGTTAAGCAATCAGATAAACAGTTTGAATGGAGCAATCAGTTAATGGTGATTGTATATGAGCACTTACAGTCTGCTCAGCGATTCGTTGTGACATTAGCCGTGTCTGATGCAGGCCGCTAGATTAGACGAATCTGCAGTAATCCAGAGCTTTGAAGCTTTGTTTAATACCTCTCAGGTGTGCTCATCTTCCTTTCCTAACTGTGCATCTGTCTCAGGTAAGAGCCGTCGACCTTGATGGGCCTCCAAATAACTTCATCATCTACTCTATTGTGAGCGGTGATCCACAGCAGCCGTTCAGCATCGACCCTCGCACCGGCCACGTAACGGTGCGCTCCACGCTGGACAGGGAAGAGGTGGGTTTCACTTTCACTCCTGAATCGCTGCCCAGAGCACAGACTCATTTGTTTTATCAGGGATTTAGTTGTATCTGTTGAATCCCGTGATCACAGATGAACATTTTAATCACTACTGTGCATATTTGACTGCTGTTATTGAACATCGGTGCCGTGATGTTCATATCTTCATAATCCCACTGACACGGCCCCTCACCTTTCAGATAACGCACTACTCATTAACCGTGCAAGCTGCCGATGAAGGCGATCCCCCTTTATCCTCCGCCGTCCAGGTGACAGTGACCGTATCTGACGTCAACGACAGCCCACCGATGTTCTCGCAGATCAATCACAGCCTCGTCCTTCAGGTAAAAACACACGGCCAAAATCTACCTTTTTGCCTCCCTGCCCAGTTAGTCAATGATTTCGTTTACTTCAGACAGACAGCTTCAGACGGCGCCGCAATATCACGCCTAACGATCTAGAAGAAATTCAAATGAGCTCTACAGATAACCAAGCAAACATTTCATGATTAAAATGGTTGTTTCATGGTAGAAATGAAAGCATATGTTAAAAATGGATATTTACTTCTTGCCACTCCATCAGACACGAGGTTAAACCAAACAATTTTCACTCGGAATTTAAATTTCACAATTAATTAGATTGTATGTTGAAGAAAATGCTAGTAACACATTGAATTAAACATGAAATTTTGAAGAAGAAAAAAATGAAATACACTGAAAAAAAAAATGATTCATTGAATTTACTACATATTTTTAAGTTAAGCGGTTGCAATCAATTTATTTTAGCTACATTTAAATAAACAAATTTAGCTGACTAACTTTCAACATTTGTTAAAATTGAAATGTAGCTAAAATAAATGGTTTCCAGCCACTTACCTTAAAAAAAAATTTGTAACATTTTTTTCAGTGTAGTGTTTTCCTGTAAACCAATAGTCTTTGTTTTATTTATAACTTAAAAACACTTTTAGTAACACTTTACTTAAAGCCTTTATATATAATGCACTATCAAATATTTTTAATGCATTAATTATGTCTTGTAATGCACCTTAAAATACATTGTATGATCTCATGAATAATTGTAACCCCAGTTATAATACATTATAATACCTCCACTCCATCAGACACACGAGGTTCAACCAAACAATTTTCACTCGGAATTTAAATTTCACAATTAATTAGATTGTATGTTGAAGAAAATGCTAGTAACACATTGAATTAAACATGAAATTTTGAAGAAGAAAAAAATGAAATACACTGAAAAAAAAAATGATTCATTGAATTTACTACATATTTTTAAGTTAAGCGGTTGCAATCAATTTATTTTAGCTACATTTAAATAAACAAATTTAGCTGACTAACTTTCAACATTTGTTAAAATTGAAATGTAGCTAAAATAAATGGTTTCCAGCCACTTACCTTAAAAAAAAATTTGTAACATTTTTTTCAGTGTAGTGTTTTCCTGTAAACCAATAGTCTTTGTTTTATTTATAACTTAAAAACACTTTTAGTAACACTTTACTTAAAGCCTTTATATATAATGCACTATCAAATATTTTTAATGCATTAATTATGTCTTGTAATGCACCTTAAAATACATTGTATGATCTCATGAATAATTGTAACCCCAGTTATAATACATTATAATACCTTTCTATTCACTGTTACACCTTTAGAAAGCATAATGCATTAAAACGCATTACAAACAAACCTTCAAATATTATGGATTTTTCTAATATAATGGATTTTCATTTTGGTTACATTTATTTATGAAATGATATAATGCATTACAATGTACATTTATAATACCTTTTTAATGCATTACACAAAGGCTTCACGTAAAGTGCTACACTTTTTTTTTTAGCAGTGTAGCAATTTCTGATTGTTTCTACACCATTTTTGTTCTTCAATGCATTGAAACATAGGATTGTGAGAAATCAAAGGTGCAAAAACCGGACATGGTTGTCATCACATTTGTGCTCTAAGCTGCACATGAGCACAGGGGAAGCCAAGAGTTCAGGCTAAAGAGCCAATCAGCCATGTATAATATAGTCATTTTTTTCTACAACAGTGTTCGGACTCGGTTTACCCTTTCGGAAGTCAACAAGATCCATTGCTTCTAATTATAGGGTCAACTCTGCTGACTTGGAAATATTTTTCACACCCCATTTACCCCCACCCAAGGTGTCTGTGTCTTCAGAGTGCGGCTGCTATTTGCCACCATGTAGGTGGTGAGTAACAATTAGGCTCATCTCTGCCATCCAAGCGCTCCGTTTCAATTACCTGTTCCAGTTGTGCCAGCTTGAAGGAAGACGAGGAGCACATGTCGGTCCAATCGGTAGCACAAATACAGACAGAGTGATAAAAATCACCATCTGTTCTTGCTGTGTTTTCATTTCGACAGAATTGGGCTGTTTCTTCAAGCTTAGATTTGTTTGCACAGAAGAATCTGGCATTGAAAACGAGTCCCGTGACAGAAATCCGCTATCGATTTGAAAAACGGCAAGAAACATCAGGGTGGATTGATTATTTTTATTCTTTTCCAGCAATTTCTCTCTGTTCGCCATGATACATTCTGTTGCCAGAGCAGTAGAACACAATAAAACTCAGAGGAGTTTTATCTTTAAAAATAAAGAACACATTTTTGTTAATTGTTCATCTACTTTCGAGAAAGGACAGCTACAACTTTTCTAAAAGTCGGTATTTTCCAAGCATGTGTGGCTTGATTAATGGTGTTTTTCTGGACACAGGAATGGGAAGCCGGGGGCAGTGGAATTCTGCAGCTGCTGGTAACAGACAGAGATACGCCTCAGAACGGCCCTCCCTTCTCCTTCTATATTGTCTCGGGAAATGAGGACAGGAGCTTTCACATTGACCAAGGAGGACTGCTGTCCGTATCCTCCCCGCTGAGGAGGAGAGGCAAGCCTCAGCATCTGCTAAAAATCCAGGTGAAAGATTTCATTCATTAATTTTAGTTAATGAATGAGTACAGCGCATGTTTACAACACATGCTTGTTTAAAGATTAAAGTGGTAGTTCACCCAAAAATGAAAGACCGTCATCATTCACTCATCCTCATGTTGTTCCACAGCCATAAGACTTTCTTTCTGCTGGAAAACACAGGAAGAAGATTTTTTTATGCTACTCATATATTATATTATATTATATTATATTTAGTGCTGTCAAGCGATTAATCGCGATTAATCGCATCCAAAATAAAAGTTTTTGTGTACATAATATATGCGTGTGTACTGTGTATATTTATTATGTATATATAAATACACACACGCATGCATGTATATATTTAATATGTTGTTTTAATATATAAAATATTTGTATATATAATATCAATTATATGTACAGTATATAAATATATACATGTAAATACATGTACGTATTTTCAAAATATATACTGTATGTGTGTATATTTATACATAATAAATATACAAAGTACACACATATATATATTATGTAAACAAAAACTTTTATTTTGGATGCGATTAATCGCGATTAATCGTTTGACAGCACTAATTATATTACATACAATTTTGTTACATTATGTTGTAAATACACATTCCAATAGGTTGCAAAATTTTAAGTTCAGATCTATTTATTAGTCTGCCTCTGTTTATAACCTACACGACCTTCAAGAATTCCGGCGTTTCATGGAATTCAAGGTTTTCAGGCGTTGTTAACCCAACCTTTCAAATTTGTCTTGACATACTTTCCTTTGCTAGTTAAAAATGATACTTACTACAGTTTCCTTGAATTTAAATGTACAATTTTAATTTAAAATGATGCTTTCTTTAACTTAAAGGAATCTCTGGTTACTATTCATTGACATTGCGTAGAAAAGAGTACCGTGAACATTTGTCAAAACTTCTCCTTTATCCTGTCTTCCACTGAAGAAAAACCAAAAGTCATACAGGTTTGGAACAATAGTACTGTAGAGTAAATAAATGATGACAGAACCTTTCATTTGTATGTGAACTATACCTTCAAATGGAATATGGCATGTATGGGACAGTACAACCTGACCTAAACTTGATTGTTATCTGTGGACCAGTGATTCTACCACACCGTCTTAAATTATTTAAAGCGACTCTTCAAAGGTCAGTGTATTGTTCGCACGTCGCAATGTTTTTTTCACACATCACATAAATATCATCTCCACAGGTCACTGACAGCGGCCACCCTCCTCTGTCCTCAATATGCGTGGTGAAAATCAACATCACAGAGCAGAGCCGATATCCACCCACTGTGACTCCGCTAGAGGTTTTCATCACCACCGCCGGCGGGACGTTTTCCAAACGTGTCATCAGCAAGCTGCACGCCACGGACCAAGATCCCCAAGACGTCCTGTCTTACAAACTGGTTTCTGATGGCCTGGACCAAGGCCTGTTCTCTGTGGACGCAGTGGATGGGAAGATCGTGGTGGAGAAGAACCTGGATCCAGGCCTGTACCACTTGAACGTGAGCGTGTCCGATGGGAAATTTAGCATCTGGGCGGGAGTGAAGGTCCATGTTTGGGCTGCCGCTCTACACGATCTGGATCAGGGCTTCACGTTGCAGTTGGCTGGACTTTCGGCAGAAGAGTTCGTGTCCGATCACTGGCGAGGCCTCCAGCGAAGCCTGGGCTTGGAGCTGAACATCCCCAGACAAGAGCTGCACATCGCCAGCTTGCAACAGCAGCCGAACTCCGTCAACATGGAGGTCCTTCTGGTCCGGAGAGCTCAGGACGGCTCCGTCCAGCCCGTGTCTGCTCAGCGCCTCAACGGAGTCCTTTCCACCGTAGAAGATATGCTGGGATTGACCGTCTTGAGACTGAAGCATGATGGTTGTGTGGGGGCTGGCTGCCCACCTCGGGGTTGCAGGAACACTGTGGTGATGAGGCAGGGGAGAATGAGTAACTACGCCACCGCACGGGCGAACTTCATCACCCCGCAGCACAGCTGGGAGAGCGTGTGCTCCTGCAACGGTAGGCGGCGAGACCACCAGCGTCTTATTTTGCATTCCACTGAGGATTTAGACAAACCCGGAGGCCTTGAATATTATCTTGTTTCTCACTTAGGCCTTGTCCACACGTACATGGGTATTTTTATAAACTGAGTTTTTCCTTCTTCCGTTTAAAAAAAAATCTCCGTCCACATGAAAACGCAAACGCATGCTATGAAGCACTGTCAAGAGCATGCCAAACCAACAGGTGGCGATATAATCTCAACCGTAAAGCCATGTTGGCCAATCAGAAGCCTGAAAAAGTTTCCAGTAGGCGGAGATAACAGCGCAGGCTCCGACGTCACAAGACAAAAACTCCGGTTTCGCTGTCTACACGATAACACTGCAACCGGAGTTTTTGAAAATCTTCACCCTGGCAGGAGTTTTCAAAAATGTTCGGTTTCAGTGAACTGGTGCTGCGTTTGCGTGTGGACGAATGGCCTAACCGCGTAGAAAAAGCTGCGGTTTTAAAAATAACCGCGTTCATGTGGACAGGGCCTAAGTTGCACCTGGGTTTGCCTTAAAGGAACAGTTCACCCTAAATGAAATGCACCCTCATGTCGTTCCAAAATGACAACACAAAAGGAAATAGAAATTTCAAGCTGCACTTTCAAGCTCCAGTAAGGACAAAAAAAGCAATAGTCTATATCAGTGGTTCTCAGCCAGTTGGCCAGGGCCTTCAAGATGACTTAAAATGATACAAAATAAGACAAAATAAGCTAAACAACAAAAAATCTAGATATTTCTTATAATTCACCCCCTCAACAACTGTTTTTGTGTTTTACAAACTTAAGATTCCCATGTCTCGTTCCCACCTCACCTTAATACTGTGATTTCTAGAATTCTAGAAAACTTTTTTTTATAATATTTATAAATTTTTATAGTTATAGTTTATTTCAAAATGATCCAGCAAATAATGAATGACATGGGGCTGAAGATTATTTTGGACGACGGGAGTCAAAAATTTTGAGAACCACTGGCCTGTATGACTTTTATTTTCATTATACTATAATGTGTCTAAAGTTTTATATGATCAGAAAAAGGTTGCTATTCACAGAACATTTTCAATCTCATTTCCCTTTATTGTTCATATTTAAACTTGAGACATGGAAAAACCAAAGCCATTTGGCATCATTGACGTCATGTGTTGGCACATTATATTTAAATGAATGTGAACATGAATAAGATTTGAGAGCTATGCCAGAGGCAAAGATATTCAATGATTAATTACTTTAATTTCAGTCTGTTGCTTACACATACACTAAGAGCACACACATACTGTAATATTTACAGTATGATACATTAACTGTATTTTTTATTTTAATTTTTTTAAGAGCTTTATGGCTCCTGGTCACTATATGCTTTCATGTTTTGGTAAAAAGCGGTTTGAAAGTTATTCAAAATATCTTTTGTTTTCAGCGTACACTACTGTTCAAAACTTTGTAGATGGTAAGATTTTTTTTATGTATTTGAAATAATTCTCTTATGCTCACCAAGGCTGCATTTATTTCATCAAAAATACAGTAAAACATTTTGTATTTTTTATTTTAATTTTTTAAAGAGCTTTATGGCTCCTGGTCACTATATGCTTTCATGTTTTGGTAAAAAGCAGTTTGAAAGTTATTCAAAATATCTTTTGTTTTCAATGTATACTACTGTTCAAAACTTTGTAGATGGTAAGATTTTTTTTATGTATTTGAAATAATTCTCTTATGCTCACCAAGGCTGCATTTATTTCATCAAAAATACAGTAAAACATTAATATTTTGAAATATTATTACAATTTAAAAGAACTGTTTTCTATTTGAATATATTTTAAAATGTAATTTATTCTTTTGATTCAAAGCTGAATTTTCAGCATCATTACTCCAGTCTTCAGTGTCACGTGATCCTTCAGAGATAATTATAATATGCAGATTTGCTTCTTATTGTCATTGTTAAAAAATAAATAGTTAGCTTTTTTATTCAGGATTCTTTGATGAATAGAAAGAACAGCATTTATTTGAAATAGAAATCTTACTTTGTAAATGTCTTTACTATAATTTTTGATCAGGTTAATGCATCCTTGCTGAATAAAAGTATAAATGTCTTTTAAAAAATCTTACTGATCCCAAACCTTCGAACAGTTCGTATGTAAACAGTACAGTATTTAGATTTTTTTGGTGAACTATTCCTTCAAAGATGTCTGTCGTGATGTCCGTCTATAAGCTTGTTTAATTTAGGTTTCTACAAGAAGTGGACAGCTGCTATTTTAAAATGTAATTTATTCTTTTGATTCAAAGCTGAATTTTCAGCATCATTACTCCAGTCTTCAGTGTCACGTGATCCTTCAGAGATAATTATAATATGCAGATTTGCTTCTTATTGTCATTGTTAAAAAATAAATAGTTAGCTTTTTTATTCAGGATTCTTTGATGAATAGAAAGAACAGCATTTATTTGAAATAGAAATCTTACTTTGTAAATGTCTTTACTATAATTTTTGATCAGGTTAATGCATCCTTGCTGAATAAAAGTATAAATGTCTTTTAAAAAATCTTACTGATCCCAAACCTTCGAACAGTTCGTATGTAAACAGTACAGTATTTAGATTTTTTTGGTGAACTATTCCTTCAAAGATGTCTGTCGTGATGTCCGTCTATAAGCTTGTTTAATTTAGGTTTCTACAAGAAGTGGACAGCTGCTGCACATTTTGCCAAATGTATTTATTATTTATGCTTCCTGCGTTGCAGAATCTGCTGTGAGACTTGACGGCAAGGGTTATCTGAAATACCTCTATCAAATGGAAGAGAGCAAAGAAAACTTCCATCTGTCTCTTCGACTCAAGACGTCTGCAGCGGAGGGCACAGTGATGTCCACCAATGCCTCTGACTGGGCAAAATTAGAGGTACGACATTTTTCAAACACACTGACAAAAGATTCTTTAACTTCTTCTTTTGTCTTGCGCAAAAAGCTTACTCTGAGTGAATCGCTGTAGGTATAAATCTAAAATACAAAAAACCCCTGCCATCCAGATCACAATAGAACGATCACAGGAAACTTCACTCCACCCAATGATAAATGCAATGTCCAAATGTTTGCAGTAGAAGCTTGTTTGTTCTCATGAACGACTAACTGCGCATTAAACGCGTTAATATTCAGGAGCACATTCCAAAAGGGAATGAAAGCGCTTGTGATGTGGATTTCATCCCACCCTTTGAGCACATCAGGGATAAATCAACCTGTATTTCTGAAATGAGTGTTATGATGAATCCATGGCTGACTGCTCTCCTCCTTTGACTCAGAGGCGCAGTGAGGGCTCTTTTGAGTATTTGTTTATTTAAACGGCCTGATGCAGCTTTGAAGCTTCAGCTAGAGGAAGTCTTTAAGGTTCTGCATAAAAGACTGAAAAGTGCATTCATGTTCTATACATTGTGAGTAAGATAAAGAATGCAGCAAGCATGACTTGAAACGCCGACCTCTGCATCAAAATCATATGACACCTCTCCCAGAGGACACTTCATTTATGCACCATAATTGAATATTCAATTTAAAGGGCTTGCAACATCAAAAGTGCACTCTCCTTTTTTTTAAGCTTTACCTCTGGGTTTTGAAACTTGGCAAGCTGGACCATTTCATTGTTGCAGAGGGGCTTCAAAAGGAATTGTTAAACATCCAAGAAATCTTCAGGGCATTCATCTTCACACGTTGCAAAGCTATACATGACGTAATTCATGTGTCTCTCTGGAGAATTAACATTTTGCCGCACCTCGGCAAATTCCTATCAGTCTTTTAATTTGAGAGGAGCGACAGCTCGTGCTTTGGAAACTTGTACAATTTGAATCAACTGCTAAGCTAGTACTTTCAGTTTTCTTACCTTTCAAGTAATTACTTTCAAATGGAAACTGAGCCTGTTTGAGCAAAGCCACCTCTGACAAGAGAAAGGGAAGTAAAGGTGACTTGTCAGTTAAGCAGCTGTAGCATTTATGAATACTGACAGCTGCGATCTAACATTATTAAGAGAAAAGAGATCTGTGGCGGGATAGATACGCTGGAACTGATACCCTTTAATGCAGTGAGGAGTCCGAGCATGGGGGCATTGATCGCAATAATTAGGTTTTTCTTCTAACCGGACTCACATCAGGAGGTCTGTTACAAAACCTACCTAGACAGCGTTGTAAGGCATCGCAGACACGATCCTGATGCCAAGACTCTTCCGAACAGCAGGGAACAAAATGATTAATCAAAGATCCATCAATTTTGACCAAATTTTAATGCAACATATTATCCAAGATGGTAGATAGAATCGAGAAATTTGGATTTATTTATAAATGTGTGTGTGTGTGTGTATATATATATATATAGTTTAGGGGCAGTTTTTTTTAATAAAGAAAATAATGCTTTTATTCAGCAAGGATGCATTACATTGGTCAAAAGTGACCGTAAAGACATTTATAATATTACGAAAGATTTATATTTCAAATAAATGTTGTTTCTATTTCTTTCTCTTCATCAAAAATGACTGTAAATAAATAAATAAATATCCCAGATTCCACAAATATGTTAAGCAGCACAACTGTTTTCAATGTTGATAATAATAGTAATAAATGTTTCTTGAGCAGCAAATCAGCATATTATAAGGATTTCTGAAGGATCATGTGACACTGAAGACTGGAGTAATGATGCTGAAAATTCAGCTTTGCATCACAGGAATAAATTACATTTTTAAATATATTAAAATAGAAAAGAGTTATTTTAAATTGTAATAATAGATTACAATATTGCTGTTTTTACTGTATTTTTGCAGCCTGTGAGACGTCTGAAAAACATTTAAAAATCTTATTAACCTCAAACTAGTATAAATACATTCATACAAAATCAGAAAAATTTTTATTCTAGTAATTTAAATTACTGTTTAAATCGCATGCTATTTGTTCATGTGGAGCTGCTGCCTTCTTGAATAGGATGCTGCCTATATGAATGCAGTGGACAATAAAGCAGAGCTTTCATCCATTCATTCATTGAGGCATAATAACAATAATCAAGTGAGGGATAATAGTCAGGCAGTATGAATGTATATAGGACGGGACATTTTTATTATCCATAAATGGTGTATTTTGCTAAAACAACCAGCGCAATATACATTATCTCACGTAATACACAGCTGCCTGCCAAATAAATTAATTCACATTGATGTGAGTCAAAATTATTTTTATTTTAGGCCGCAGAATGCCACAACTGACCAATCAAGAACAAATATTCCAGAGAATTAGTTTAATCTCATCAGCAAACAGAATTTTTGCCGTCATCATTTCTCAAAACAAATAACTGGGCAGGGAATATCACTTCATTTATGGAGGAGACTCTCTTCTGCTTGCTGGACTGTAAATGTTTAGTTGGCTGATGTTTTGTTTGTGATTTACAAGCACAGCGAGATCATGTGCTGTGTGTTTTTTTTTTTTGATGTGGACTCTGGTGGATAAACAGCCTTGTAGCCTGTCAAACTCAGCATTGCCCTCGAGGAACCAAAACTCAGATCGAACATTCACCCTCTGAGTTCTCTCGGGAAAAGTTCCTCTTCCTTTTCTGTGCTCATCTCACCACCACCACCACCACTGCACACTCAGCTCAGCCCAGCACAGCAAAATCAAACAGCAGCTCCGTCCAATGAAAGCAAATGAGCTAAACCCATGGGCTGACTGGTATCAGATCAGAGCAAAAGGATCTGTGCTTCGTTTCTCTCATCGCAAAACTCTCTGAAGATCCTGCCGCAGCAATTAAGAGGCTGGTGTGAAGGAGATGATGTGAAGTGCACACACACAAGCTATGTTTTTTTAATGCACAGAACAGGAAACTAATACATGCTGTACTGTTCTTCTCGCATGTACGAATGCAATTTAACAGTCAGCCAAACTCCATCCATAAAGTACAGATGAGTCAGGATTCATCTTAGTCTTCGTCATTTTAATAAGATGCCATTGAGATGTACATTATGAATTAGGAGTAAAACTGTAAAAAACAGTAAACAAACAATAATCAGAATAATTACACAACAACAACCAAAGAATATGCATACAAGCAGCTCTGAGACTTATATCTGAAAAAAGGCTCAAATGTTATCGATGTAATCAATTTACTTAAATGAGATTACCAGATAACCAAAAATAGCAACAAATTCAAATATTGACTCGTATAGAGAAATCGTCTTATCAAAGTAGAATGAAATCAACACATTGAGTGCCATATCAAATAAAAGCTAAGCTAACAGCTAGAGGCCATTACTAAAATTACACCAAATCAAAGCTTCGAAAGAATTTATCACAAATATGTGCAAATATATATAATCAAGCATTATGTAATGAATAATTAACTTACAGATGATGCTTTTACAGACAAAAAACAAAGGATGGCATCCAAAAATCGAGGAGAAACTGACTGGATGAGAAATGTGCTCTACTCTGAACTCACTTGGCGTAGAACTGCCACCAGGTGGCACCAAACCTATACAAGCGACAAACTTGGAGCAGAACACATGCATATGTGAGTGATCCATTATTTGTGGACGGATCGCTGAGGAGGCATAATGTCAGCGTCTGTTTGAATGCTTTGCATCACAAAGTTGTTGGTGCGATTGAAGGAGAACTAACCGCGTTCTCCCGCGAGCTCTGTCTTTCACAACTACCTTCAGCGCACACAAAGGGCTTCTTATCTCCCACAGAACGAGCGCAGGGAGCACAAGCTTCCAACTGTGCAAAAACACAACCTATCGACCCTACCTCAGCAAGAGCTTCGCTGGCTGTTCAGCAACCTGGGCACAGTCCATAAATATGTAACTTTATTCAAGCCGCAGACGTCAGGCTAAAGCTAATAATAAGTGTGTACTTTTGTTTTGATGTTTTTTATTTATTTGCCAGACTGAAGGTGCTTTTCTGCATCAATGACGTGATGCTCTTTTTTTTTTTGTCTTTTCAAAAATACATTTGATATGCAGTTCATACATGCAGTGACTTGACAATGTCTCTTTTGTGATGAACATGCCTTAAATTTCAGACTCTACTACAAACATAGACTTGACTTTATTCCTTTTGACTAATGAAGGCCCTAAAGTTGGCTGAAACATCAATAGAGTCAAGTCAATGTTTGTAGAGTGAGTGTTGCATTTTTATTCTGAAGTTTGAAATTCAGATTTATTGAGTTGAACCACCTCAAGTGTCTGTTTAATAGTAGTGATTCATTTGGAGCCCAGGTCTGTGCAGAAGTGATTCATTTTTGAGCCTGAGTTGGCACAGTAGTGATTCATCTGGAGCGGAGTCTGTGCAGTAGTGATCGTGAGCTGGAGCCCAAACTCCCACAGACCCAATCACAAGCTCGCAACCATGACACCACGCCCCGTTTTTATAGCATCAAATAACTAACTAAAAGCAAACTTACTAGAAAAAAAAACACTTGAACATACATTATTGAACATACATTGAACAGACAATATTTTACTTATAACTTTTTGTTTCAAATCAGAACTACACATTCAAATGTATTCAAAGTGAAAATGTTATCATTTTTCACATTTGTTTAGTCAGCAGATTTAACCTTTTTATTAAGAATATTATAAAAGTTTTTCAAATCCATATAAAACCGACATGAATACAAAGAGTACATTTCAAATAAAAAATAAAAAAAAGAAAAGAAAGATTTTTCCTGTTCTTTACCAAGAATGCTGTTATTTGTCATTGACTCGTGTGTGTGTGTGTTTTTCTAGCTGGTGGACAAGGAGCTGTGGCTCAGATATAGATGTGGCAACATGCTCCCTGCCAGTCTGCATGTGGCCCACCACCCTTTGGCTGATGGCCGCTGGCACCACGTCTCTCTGGAGGTCAACGGCTCAACCCTTAGACTCACCATTGATGCCAGCCACTCCAACGCTGTGGTTTTGCCTCAACCCTGCAGGCTCAGTCAGTCCAGTGGGGCCCTGGTGTTAGCCAGCTCCAATCCCAGCGCAGATGCAGAGCGCCTGGGCTTCACCGGCTGTTTGGAGAGCATACAGTTCAACGGAGAGGCGGTGAGAGGAGAGGAGGGGATGACAGCAACTGGCCCGCAGACCGGCAGACTCTTCGGGATCTACCAGTGCTGCTCTGATGTGAAGATCTGTGCCAGCAATCCTTGTGAGAATGGAGGCACTTGTGTTGAAGAGCCCAGTGGAGGTGGGAAAGCAATGTTCCTCTAAATTTGCACACACTTTCTTCCCTGTTTTACCTGCCCGTTCTTAAAATCAGATATGCAAATTAGGTCAGCAAATCTGAATTCCATTTGCACAACACAGTTTGCCATCTTGCTTGTCTACACTAGTTTTGATATATGGATGATTATAATGCTACATTATTTAATCAGCATATGATGAACTACTGCTGCCGTGATCACTAGAAAATGTACACAAACATCTCTGTAAAATTAAATGCATTTTATTGCCACAATAATCATACGTGTAGAAATAATAAAAACAGAGAAGGTTTGCAATGAAAATAATAAAAAATAGTAATAATAATGAATTGATAACACTTTACAATAAATTGAAATCATTAACATTATTAACATAAGATCATTTGATCATCATGAACATAAGGATGAACTATACAATTTAATTGCATTAATTAATAGCGGTTAATTTCACAATAATATGACTATTGTAAGATTTCAAGTTGTATAGATTAACATTAATGTGTTATGAATTAACATGAATTAACATTGAACAACAGTATTTTTTATAAATGACCACTAACCTAGATTAATAAATGCTGTAAAATGTTGTTTGTTTGTTAGACATAACTGACATATTCTGACATAAATTAACAAATTGTTAGGACAACAAACAAAGAGGTGGACAATAGCAATTTGAGAAAGATAAAACAGAAATGCTGATATATATATATATTTTTTATAATGCTATATATGAAATGCTATATATGCCATATACTGCTGCCATGATCACTAGAAAATGTACACAAACATTTTTGTTAAGATTAAATGTATTTTATTGACAACATAATATTTATTACAAAAACAGAAAAGGTTTAATAAAAAAAAAAAAATTATAAAGATGAATTTATTGGTACCACATTACACAGTAAAGTTCGAATGAACAAGAATTAAGTTTAAATTATACAAACATAAAATTAAACATTTAGTTAACAGTGAACAATATTATATTTACTGTATAAATAGAAAATAACCTAGATTAATAAATGATGTAATAAATGTTTAATGTGAGTTTAAAAATGCATTAACTAATGTTAACGCATTGAACTCATCTGTACCAGAACCTGGTCAAGTTGGAGGTTGGAAGTAGTTCATGAAAGTGAAAGCTCTTGAAATCTTGAAAGTGTGCTAAAGTGGTGCAAATGTATTCACCCCTTATATATATTTCACTTTTTTTGTTTTCATCTCTGTTTCATGATATAAGATTGTGAAGTACGGAATTAATTCTTGAATATTAAACAAGGTCCCTTAATAAATTGGTAAGGGACAACAAACAGAAATGCTGGAATGTCTTTGGAGTATCTAAGAAACACTACACAGATATGTAAATAAAGCTAGGGAGATGATAATGTCCGCTGTATTTTCACTCAAAAGATCTCTCAATACTCCAGTGTCAGTCTACACTTTCATCTCAGCACAGAGAAGTTCCTATGGAAATGTCTTTGTTATCTTGACCATTTCTCTAAGATGCATTTTTTCCGTATGTCCTCCAGAGTTTCGCTGTAGCTGTCCATCGCTGTACTTTGGCTCTCGCTGTGAGAACGGCATCCTGCCGGACGATCCTTGTGCATCCCAGCCATGTGCTAATGGTTTGTGCATGCCAAATAATCAAGGGTACATCTGCAACTGCTCTGCACAAATGGCTGGAAACAGGTGAGACTCACACAGCGAAGCTCTTGAAATCACACATGCATATTATGTCCTCGGTGAAGGCATTGAGAAGTCGGACTAATTTACATGAGAATGAATACTCGCCCACACAGGTTACATGCGTTATGTGCATTTGCCATTTGCTTTGCGCCTTTGAGTTAACAAATTAAAACGTTATTGATTGTCCTCATTCATATATAACACCAAAGCTTGAGGAAATTAGTCATGGAGTGAGAATTCCAATCAATAGATGTCCTTCTGTTTGTCTATCTCAGTTAGATGCTTATGACAAAAAGCAAAATGCAATAATTATTTTTCTGTAGGTGGAATTAAGTAGTATTCACTGTCTGGAATATTGGACATGTCAATCTAACAAAATGATGATAGCTGATATTACATGAGTGAGAAATATGAATGAAAAATATGTAATATTAATTTAACTAATTATTTTTGATTGAATTAATATGCACTTATTTTCTCGAGCAGCTAACACAATGTTAATGTTAGAAAAAAACAAGAAAAAAAGACTAATATTAAAAACACACTACAGAAACTGAATCAATAAAAGAATAAATTTTTTAATTTAAATTTTTTAATCTAGAATAAAACTTTTTTGTTTGTGTTTAAAAGACTTTTGACACATTGCAGCATGTTCAGATATTCATACAACAAAACATTCTGATAATTTTGTGAAAATGCTCAAAAATGCTGGCCGTGACTGACAACTTAAAAAAAAAAAAGCTGACAGGGAAAGAGTTAACTGTAGCATTCTATAATATCAAATGTGCAAAGATATCAGATAAAATACAGAATGAATTAAAAAAGAAAATACCCTTCACGCCTGGAGGAAGAGGTGTGTAGCTGGCATTTTTGATTTTATTTCTCAATATGAAAAGAGCTGTGTGGAAACACCCAGATGATAGCTTGATAACATTACTGTTTTTCCATACATAAAGAAAATTTAAAAGAAATGCATCTGGACGTTTGGAATGAGGAAAATATTCAATTTGGATAAGATGGCATATGCCATTTCCATTGAATAGTAATTCACCTGTGGTCTCTGTGACCGAGTGTGAGAATATCTAGATCAGTGTGGCCCACACACTCTCCTACATTCAGTCAATTGTTCCTTCTCTTTACAGATGTCAGAATGCGTGCACTCCCAATCCATGTCTCGCTGGTTTCACCTGTTCAATGGCGGGAAACTCAATCCACTGTGAGCGCACCAACTCCCCTGCGTATGTGGAAATCGCAGAGATCTGCGCAGGCATATTGGGGCTTGTCCTCCTCGCTGTGGCCTTTGTGTGTTTCCGAAAACACTACGTCAGCCGCAAAAAGCACAAGTCCGGCTGCGTTCAAGATTCCAACGGCTACTTCCCAACGTTGCCCAAAAGCATGATGAAAGAAACCGAGATCAGCTCTCCTATGGAGCTCAGCACCCTGATTGGCTTCGCAGGCGATCTGGACAGCAGTCCTTTCTGCTCACTCAAACCTCGAGAACAGCGGGAGCTCGGCCCTCAGGTGGGCTCTCGGTCCAGGCCTCAGGGTCCTGTGATTTGCAGCGTGGCCCCCAATTTACCTCCTCCACCCTCCACCAGCTCTGATAACGACTCTATTAGGAAAAACAACTGGGAGCACGACTACGAAGGTGAGAACTTGAGTTTTATTTATTATTTTCCCAGCTTCAACAGGCACTTCACTTCATTTGGAATTTAGTCACATCATAAAAGACGAGAGCGGTGGAGGACAAATAGCTGCGTGTGCTCCTGCAGGTCGATGGAAAAGCATGTGTGGGTCATATCAATTACATCTTCTGTTTGCTGCAGCACTGAGCACTTTCTCATGTGTGCCTCTGTTTAAAACCTATGGCTTAAAAACTATCACATTTAAAATGGTGACATACTAAATTCTCAAGCACATCCTTAACACTCAAACATTTCAAAAACGGGTGAGAATTTGACTACTTTAGAATTTTTATTTAAACATGACTAATTTTTACTCAATTGAAATAGTCAGCAGGACAGTGTTTACCTAATGCAAATGTCTCATACACTGCTGTTTGTGGCACATCCAACATTGCCTTGATGGAAAGTTTATGAGTGGATCACCATGAACTGTCATAAACAGTGCAAAACATTCACATCCCACTCGCATAGTGGGAAAACTCTGTGCGGCACATTATTAGTTTCATATATTTGGACATATTGGGTATTTTATTGGTTTAATAATAAAATTGATGTCACATGCCAGTGAGAGGAATTTTCTCCTGCTCTTGCCATTAGGGATGCACAATTTATCGGTACCCATATCATTATTGGATGATAGTGGAGATTTTCAGTATCAGTATATTAGAGCTATATTGGTGCATATTTTGTTTAATTGTATATTTTCCCTATTTATAGATTTAACCCTGTTTTCTAACTCTCACTTAAAGTAAATCTTTAAAATTGAATAACACAAATCTCATTCTGTACATTATAAGGTTGTGATTCCTTAATTCACTTGTAGTTTAAAAAATGTTTTTAATTAAAAATTTAAGTAAAAAAAAAAAAAAAAATACCCTACTGTCCAAAAGTTTGGGGTAAATAATATTTTTGTTTGTTTTTAGAAATAAAAGTATCCTTTGGCAAGGACACTTTAAAATGGACCAAAATATTAAGCAACACAACTGTATTATTGATAATAATAATAATAATAATAAATGTTTCTTGAGCACCAGAATGAATTCCGAAGGTCCTGTGACACTGAAGACTGGAATAATGACTGCTGAAATTTCAGCTTTGCCATCACAAATAAATTATATTTTAAAATATATTAAAAACGTCTAAATACAAGATAAAACAAATATTTTAAATAGTAATAATTTTTCACAATATTACTGTTTTCACTGCATTTTTTCATCAAATAAATGCAGCCTTGGTAAACATGTTTTTAAAAACATCAAAAATCTTACCAAACTGTCCAAAAGTTTGGGGTCAATAATATTTTTGTTTGTTTTTAGAAATAAAAGTATCCTTTGGCAAGGACGCTTTAAAATGGACCAAAATATTAAGCAACACAACTGTATTATTGATAATAATAATAATAATAATAATAAATGTTTCTTGAGCACCAGAATGAATTCCGAAGGTCCTGTGACACTGAAGACTGGAATAATGACTGCTGAAATTTCAGCTTTGCCATCACAAATAAATTATATTTTAAAATATATTAAAAACGTCTAAATACAAGATAAAACAAATATTTTAAATAGTAATAATTTTTCACAATATTACTGTTTTCACTGCATTTTTTCATCAAATAAATGCAGCCTTGGTAAACATGTTTTTAAAAACATCAAAAATCTTACCAACCCCAAACTTTCAAACAATAGTGTTTATCGGCCATAACATGAAAATATCATTTTAATATTGGTGCATCACTACTTGTATAGACCAAGTGGACATAGACCTATCTCACTTACTACTGTCAGAACTAATCAACTAATTTGTGCAACCCCTAGTTGCAAGAAATAAACGATTTCTAATAATAACTCTCATTCACAGTGTATCCAGCTGATCCTGACTACTACGGCCGACCCACGGTTCAAGAGTTCCCAAAGTTTGACATTGTGGAAAGCACCTACTCGACGGCTGCCACAGAGTCGCGCAGGAACTCTCGCTTCGGAGGCTTCCCTTTCCCGCTGGACCGCGCCGACCGCCGCGCTCCATTACCCCCTTGTTACAGCAATCAGAATTTAGATGACTTCTTGGGGCCGGATGGTCTGCCGCTGCCCAGCTCTCAGTGCCCTAACGAGTACACTGCCATAAGCTACTACCCTACCCAGCACACTCGCAGCCTGGACAACGTCTCCAGCGGCTATAAGAGGCTCAGCGTGCGTTTGAGCGTGGCACAGCCTTCATACGCGGACGGCGACGGCTCCAAGCGGCCTGGATCTACTAGAAGGACGTCTCGCAGTTATGCTGGCTCAGATATGGTGGAGAGTGACTACGGCAGCTGCGAGGAGGTCATGTTCTAAGAGACTGCGGTTGGATCAAAGGTCCCGTATGAGTGGGGTTATAGAGAGGAAGCTCATCTCATACATATAGTATATGAAGCTCAACGGCTGAGAGCCACAGAAGCACTATCAGTATTAATAGTCACTTTCAGGGAAAACAAATACATCTGTGTGAAATGCAACTTTCCTCATTGTTTGCCCTTTACGAATCTGTGGAATTATTGCATGACCTTAAAACGTCTACGGTGTGGTTATAAATGATGTTATTAGCGTGTAGAGATAATGCGGCCTCATTTGGTATTGCGAGTTCAATCGCACCCCGTCCAGTTTGGTTGGAAAAAGTATATTTTCAGCAGATGTTAAATGATTGATTGTAGTGTTGCATGTCATTATCAGATTGGAAACCAGCTGTAGGGCGGATGATTATTTCTGTAAAACATAGCTGAGGTGTGTTGTTCTCCGAGCCCATATGTGCTCACCGAAATCAGCGTGCTATGAAATGAAGCGTTCCATATGGTGTAAACATTTTTAGCGATGGCACATTTCACTACAGCGAAAGTATAGAGGTTACACTGATTTGTACATGCGGCTGAAGCAGAGGCTGGTTCCCTGCTGTATCAAAAATTAGTACACAATGTGAAATATAAGATGTATGTTAATGAAATATCAAATATCGGTCCATGGTAAGTTGATGTGTCATTGGTTGTTGGGAAATTTACTTTTTGACTGTTTTGTAAAAGGAATAGTTCACTTAAATTTGCTAAAGATTTACTCACACTCAGGCCTGTAGTTTGTTTTTTTTATGGGAACACATTTTTAGAAATATTGCATTATATCACTTGCTCGCCAAGTGAATGGGTGCCGTCCAAATGAGAGCCCAAACAGCTGATAAAAACATCACAATAATCCACACCACTCCAGTCCATCAATTAACATCTTGTGAAGTGAACAGCTGCTTGTTTGAAACAAATCCATCAAGGCGTTTTATGTACAAACTGTTGCTTCTGTCCAAAATATGAGTCCATAATCCATAATAATGCTGTCCTTAAGTGTAAAAAAAGTCCATTTCACGTTGTCCTCTCACAACAGGGCATGGACTTTTTCACATTGGTGAGCAAGTGATCTAATGCTAAATTTCTCCAAATCTGTTCAGATGAAGAAACAAACTCATTTACATCTTGAATGGCCTGGGGGTGAATACATGTTCTGCAAATTTTTGGGTGAACTGTTCCTTTAAGATGAGTCTGAATTGCTGCGCTTGGTGAATACTAATTTGAAATGTGAACTCTGGCTTTATCTTCTCACGCTGCAGAAGTTATGCAGTTTTAGAAGTTTTCACTGATCAAAGGCAATCAAACTTAAGCCATAAAAAATCACTGTGCAGCTTTTTATGGCTCAATTATGCTTCTTGACAAACTGTCATAATGCTTACTAATCATTAAAATGATCAAAAATACTGCCAAAGTATGAAAGAAACTGACCTGATTGAAGAATCATATATACTGTATGTGTGTGTGAACATCACAAACAGCTGCATTTTATATTCTAAAGCGCTTCTGTCTTTGAACTGTATTCATAACATTGATGTCATCTTTAGGGTTCAATATTTTTTTGTTATGAATAGGGTTATGAATATTTTCAACAGAGTACATTTTATTGGATGCATAGATGACCTGAATGCAACTGGCTTTGGAGACTGGTTTAGTGGACTGCTGCATGTGTCATCAAATGATATTGCATGTGCTCCTTTCCCTCATTGACTGTAGTCTATAGTGTTTCAAATTACATGGCACAGTGTTGATGTACATGTTATTAGCAGCTGTTGCAAGTATTTGTTGTGATCTGCCGTATGTTTGTGAAGTGGGTGGTAAGTGCGAATGTCATTTTTTTGTATTTTGAAAATTCAATGTGGGATGACTCCCATGTTTTAAAGTTTTAAAGTTCCTCTGTGAGAGAATCTGTGTTGTCTTTGCCATTTCCCATCTATGTAAAAAAATACTATGAAATATATCAAATAAAATTGTTTAATATACAGAATGTACTGTGTGTTGTATTAATTATAATCTTACAGACTCAAAAATTCAATAGTAATTCAAAAAGTACTCAGTCATTTTTTTTTTATTCAGCAAGGTTGCATTGGTCAAGAGTGACAGTAAAGACATGTGTCTTTATTATAATAATGTTAAAGGCTGTTCTTTTAAACAAAGGATCATTAAAGAAAGGTCATTGTTTCCAGAAAATATTAAGCAGTACAACTGTTTTCAACATTGAAAATAATAAATATTTGAGCAGACAATCAGCATATTAGAATGATTTCTGAAGGATCATGTGACACTGAAGTACTCTTGTCACCGCAGGAATAACCCAGGTGAAGAAAGTGCACTTCCATAATGTGCTTTCCAAAGTGCTCTATTTTCACACACTAATTTTGTACTTAATATACTAAAAAATATTCATATTCATGGTGTCCCAAAATAGCACAGTTGAGTACACTTAGATGATCTTAAGTTTATCTTAAGAACTAAATAATTTTTTTTTTAGTATATTAATTACAAAATTAGTGTGTGAAAATAGAGCACTTTAAGTACATTATGGAAGTGCACTTTTTTTCTCACCTGGGAATACATTTCTTTAAAAAAATATTAAAATACAAAGCAGTTATTTTAAATTGTAATATCTCACAATACTGTTTTTACTGTATTTCCGTCAAATAAATGCAACATTGGTCAGCAAGAGACTTTAAAAACTTTTTAAAATCTTACTGTATACAATATATATAAATGTGGTTAATGTGGTAACATCTATTAGTACAAGTATTTGTCTTACTGCTACATTTGAGGACACTATCATCAGATTTCATCAGAAGTGTTTATTAATGCTTTTTTTTATAGGGCTTCTAACAGTTGTTTCCATTTCAGACATCTCTGAATGAATTAAGAAATGGATGAGGGAGACTCATTAGCTTTCAGACGCAGAATAAAAGCGATTAGAATAATGGAAGAACATAAGCGAACGAGGTCGTGAATCACAGCGGCAACACTCAGAGGAGCTCTGACTCAGCTCACCGGGGGCTTCGCCACAATTACTGTAACTCAGCAATTCCCCAAGATTTATGCACGAGTGAAAGTGGAGCAGTCCCATAATGTATACATCCCCTGTCCTGAAGCACGGGAATCTCAAATAACCCCACAGCTGAGGACCGTTGAGGCTTTCGGATATAAGTGTCAACTCATAACAGTACTGAGTGCCGTAACTCATCTTGAACTCATACACATGACATCTGAAGTGTAGGATGTAACTGTTTAGAATGCCTTTTGCAATGTTAAACAGTACTGACTATTCACACTCACTTCAACTGAGTGGCTCTCTAATATTAATGTCCACGATTAGATGCTGCGAAAGCTTGGTGGATTTTGGAGTGGGCAGGTTTGTGATAAATTTCAATTATTCAATTAATTTTTAGTGTTATCAGAAGGAGAAAGTGTTTGTCAATCAGAAAAACGCACAGATCAAGCTCAGCCTAAAAATGAAATCCACCCTGTTGCGTCACTTTTTTTTTTTCACTGGACCTTAACAGAATGGAGGTTTTAAGCTAATGAAACTCATTAGGAAACAACAGCATGCTAACAGAAGATTAACATTTAAAAGGAATTTTAATAGATATAAAATCTATAAACACAACAGGGTGGACATGTTATGTTTTGCACTATTTTAGATAAGCCTTCTAAAACTGAGGAAATGAGAGACAAGTTAATGACTCACTTTGTGTTTGGAATCGATTTCCCTCCAATGAAATGAGGCCACATCTAGCAAATCGTGATTTAGGGCACATGCTTAAGATTTTAAAGGGCAAGTAGTACCAATGTAGCAGGGCGGACTGGAGTTAGTAAGACATTAACTAATTTGGCGTTATTAGTTTGGGGAATTTTGGATGTCCCCTTGAAACAGTACATAGTAGCATAGAAGCAAACAGTAGCATAAAACGGTAGTCAACTTTCATGCCACATGGTTTCCATGCATAGACGTACCCCACTTGAGTATCAGTGTATACATTTGCTTATTGTTTTTGTCATAAAATACAATTCATTGTGATGCATGTTTTTTTTTGTGTGTGTGTATCAAACTAAATTAGTTTATAATTTATAAATTAGTCTCACAATCCCAATTCACATGACTTTCTATAAGTGACATCATTTCCTTGGAGGGAAAGCATCTCCAAAAACAAATTATTAGTTTTCTCTCTTTTCTTCGTTTTTAGAAGACTTATTTTAATAGCATATAAATAACATCCACATATGAAAATATGTGCTTTTTGTAACAGATCTTATGTATCTATAAAATTCTTCCTAAATTGTAAGTTTCTGCCAGCATGTTGTTCTTTAGTTTAAAAACTCTGTCCCGTTAAGGTCCACTCTGTTACGCATTGCACTGTAAAAAATGTGATGTAACAGGGTGGACAAAATTTCTGTCATTTGAAATATTGGGTCAGGATTATTGAGCTACTTGAGCTTGAAACTTTTTTTCAACAAACCTGCTTTTACACACACACACAGAAATATCACAATAAATAGTATTTTATGTCAAAGAGATTAAGTAAATGCATATACTAATACTCAAAATGTCTAATTTAGAAATATAAATGTGACCTTTATTCCAAAGTGAAGTTGAGAAAACATGTTGAGGAATTTGTCAAGTGACTATTCTCTGTAGATCCCACCTTCTCCATGCCACAATTGGACAATTATGTACAATCCTTGCATGTTATTGGTCAAACAACTTATCAGTCATTACCTTCTGTACGTATTAAAGCAATAGGAAAACAAAGCCATGACCCAGACATTTTAGGCAATTTAGTAATCCCTGCCAGGATATGTCCAGTGAAAACAGGACATATAATCACGCTGTTTAATGTAAAATATACCATATTGTTTTATGTCAACATAAAATTCATTAAACTGTATGAATGTCCCACTGTGCAGCTGTTTACAACTCAATATTCAAGTTCAAAATTGAGCAAGAGACGTGGGTTGGTTTATCAGCATAAAAGGTTCACCTCATACAAACCTTGGCCCAAACCTCTATAATCAGCACAGCCACTGACAATTATTCAGATGCCCATCAAGGTTCTATTAAAAAAAAAAACATTCCCCTCGCACA